TGCTGGATGTTTCTATGGCATCATTGTTGAGTTTTGCAAGGAGGGCATGAAAGGGGGCCAAAAAATTGTTTCTGATGGACTCGCAAAGCGAAGTGCCACCTTGTGTGGTATCGTCATTTGAATCTGGAAGGCTATCCGGGATGGCTTCGAACCGAAAATCAGGCAAGCCATCAAGGGAATTGGGTCCTAGAGATTTAAGAAAGCGCTTGTGATTGAACTCTGTGTTAACAAAGGTTATATGAAAACCTCTATGGTGAAGGAGCTTTGCAAATTTAAGCATTGCCTTTATATGGCTTTGAACAGGAAGTGGAATGCAAACAGCATGTGGCTTAGAAGCTACTTCTTTGGAACCCATCTTAGCTTTTGTGTTTGTATTGCAATTTGCAGTGCTTGCAAATGCAGATTATCTATGCATATAAGGTAACCAGAGATAGAGAAAAAAGCTGATCAAGACAAAATTGTGGTATAAATTGTTACATCACTAATAGTCTACAAAATTAATTGTGGTTACCAATTTTTGATAGATAGTCAACTTTTCCAGCCCACTTTATCTGTGGCAAAGAAAATTCAGTTGATCAAGACAACAAGGAAACTTCTTGATCACGACAAAGAGACTCTAGACTTAGACTTTCGTTTCTTGGTGACGTAAATATCAGGAAGATAGTATACGATAATTTGATTCATTTACCTTCAAAATTAAAGCCGGCTCATAATTAGTGGCATCTTCAATTCTGTCACCCTTTTTTTATACTGCTACAATTTTTTGTTACCATTTTTCATTGCTAAAATATTTGGTTCCTCTGTATTCTTCCAATTCAATATTATCTTGTACATTTCAGTAATTTAAAACTTACAGCTGAACAAAAACTGAAGATGGTAAACATGTTGCCAGTTCATTGAATTGAACCAATAACTTCTAGGCTTGCAGCGCATGATCTTGTTAAGTTTGTGGATGCAAAGAACATCTAGCTTTTTCTTGATTGCATTTGATTCATTAAATTGTCTAAGTTTGTGGACGAAGAACCGTGTAGACTGGTGGCCTCCTCTGCCAGTGTTTTCCACTCCATGGCCTTGTTCTTAATCTTCTTACCCTTCTCTCCCTCCATTAACTCTCTAACAAGCTTCTCTACATCGTCTCTCATGACATCATTGTTGATCTCCATCCCAATGCCCCATTCCTTGCAGGTATAGTGACAGTTTGTTTGCTGATCAGCAAAGAATGGCCAGCACAACATAGGAACTCCTGCAGACAAGCTCTCAATCGTTGAATTCCAACCGTTGTGTGTTAAAAATCCTCCAACTGAAGGGTGGTTAAGGACTTGCTCTTGTGGGCACCAACTTGCTATTAGACTTCTTTCCTTAGTTTCCTCCACAAACTCCGGTGGCAAAATAGCTGACTCGCCAATAACCAAACCAGGCCTAATTACCCAGAAGAAATGCAGCTTGCTATTTGCAAGTCCCCAACCAAACTCAACAAGTTGATTTGGTGTCATGACCGTTATGCTCCCAAAATTCACATAAACAACCGAGTTTGGTGCCTTGGAGTTTAGCCATTGGAGGCACTCAGTTTCTTCTTTCCAAAGGCTGTACCCAAGAGACTTCAAAGGGTGTTCTGGTATTTGATTGAGAAGTAATTGGAGAGGGCCAATGGCATATACAGGTGGAGACATAGATGAGAGAGCATCCAAAACATCTGGCTCCAGTGCATCAAAAGTATGAACAACAACAGCTGAAGCTTTATGAAGTCTTCCAATTACTTCAAGGATGCCATTGAAAATGCTGTCATTGGGATTTGTAGTTATGAAGTTGTTTGGGAGATCCCTTAGACGAATACCTTTCATTCCTGGAACCCAATCTATCACCTGGTCCAGAAAGCCATTTGTCAAGAAGCTCTCATCTACAAAAACCCAAGTAATCAATTGAAGAAATGTGTCATTTGCATGTGTAGAAAATTCAAGTGTAAAAAACCATAAAAATCAAATAAATATATCACCTTTGAGAGGTGCAAGACCTTTTTCCACCAAAGTGGGATATTGCTTGAAGCCCATGAAGCTGCTTGCTGCAAAAGTAAAGAAGAGAGTGACAGGAATTCCAAGCTGTTCAGCAGCAGGGGTTGTGAATGGCATGAAAGGGTCTGAAACAATGCAAGTCACAGGAGGAGGAGCATTGTTGGAAGTTGATGTAACATCATTATTGAGTTTTGTGAGGAGGTCAAGAAAAGGTGCCAAGAAGTTTTTCAAGATGGAATCACAAAGCAAAGTGAGGTCTTGGGTGGCATCTTCATCTGAATCCGGAAGGCCATCCGGGATTGTTTCGAATCGAAAATCAGGCAAGCCGTCAAGGGAGTTGGGTCCTAGAGATTTGACAAGTCTCTTGTGGTTGAACTCTGTGTTGACAAAGGTTATATGAAAGCCTTTGTGGTGGAGGATCTTTGCCAGTTTAAGATGTGCCTTGATATGGCCTTGAGTTGGAACTGGAATGCAAACAGCATGAGGCTTGGAATTGGAACCCATTTTAAGATTGTGTATGTCAGAGAGTGTATGCTTGTAAGTTGTAAGTTATAATGTGTATTTTTATAGGCTAATTAACAACAATATTTATGTTGTCAATTAAACATGAACAAGGGGAAGAAAGAGCCACGCCTGAGGCAAGTAAGAAAAAAAAGAATTGTATACAAGAGTTTCTTAACGAAAAGTTTCATTACAAGATGACAACGGCCGGCTGGTTAGTATTTAAGTTCGTCTCTGCAGGCAAGAAGATTCTGTTTTGTTTTACAAAGGAATGTTCAAGAAATGTTGTGAATATTCCAAAGCTTACTTACTTGACAAAATTTAATTACTTAATACAATTAAAGGTTAAAAAATTTCAATTAATTTCTCCAACTTCCTACTTTATTTAGCCATGCAACCACTCAATGAACAAGTTTTTTAACTGAATAGTATAACACTTTATTTTTCCAAATTTATTTCTCTTTTTCTCATGTTAATTAACTTGAATTAACATACATAGGTTTAGTCAAGTTAGCTAGAACGGATGTACTTTTCACTTTGCACCCGAGTTAGAATCCCCTCCCTATAATTTAGATTAAATTAAAGTAAAATATTACTTGTATTAAAAATAAATAAAAAATTTAACCAACAAAATTTCAAGTAGGAGTTTAAAACAATTTAAATATATAAATAAATAAGGACCAGCCTGAGTCAATATACTGGCCCATTTGGCCATGCAGTCTACTACAAAATCATTAAGCCTCGACCTCCGTCCACATCAGCATAGGGGTGATCCGACCAAAAGAGAGTGGTTTATGGTTAGCCCAAGTAGTGAGAGAGACTGGGCCAATGAGTTAGAGAAAATAGTAGCCGAACTTTAAAGTGTACAACCAAAAAAAAATTATTTTTATTTTTTGGTTCAATGTGTATAAGGGTTTATAATTGGTATAAGGTTCCTGTTTGATCCGCGGATTGAACTTCCTAAGAATGAAATTCACATGTTTAATCCTACAAGATGGGAATGGAGGATGCTCATTCCCATATTTAGGAACACTAGAAAATGAGGATTAAGAATATCATTTTCTCCTATTCTCATTGATTTGTGCAATATTATAAAGAATAATGCTACTCTTACCACATTATGTGGCAGATGAGGTGAACAACATATCAATTAAAATTAATTTAAAGTTTTCTTATCTTTTATGATTTATTGACACTTTTTAATTGATGTGATTGTCCACTTCATCTGCCACATAAGGTGGTATGAAAATGTATGATATAAATGTGGTAAGTGTAGCATTACTCTATTATAAATGAAAAGTTGTTCATTTCTCCAACAACCTTTGATTTTGTATTATTAAAAGTTTTAAGGAGTGGGTTAGTCCAAAAACAATTTGCATTAAATATTTTCCCAAATTAGGGAAAAAGTTTCCCAAAGTGAGTCAATGGTACGAAATTCCCCCTGCATGGGAAGTTCATACCCATGAGTTAGGTAAATATGCACTTATCAAACATGGGAATGCAATTTCATACTCATTCTTAAGCTCCTAAACCTTGAACCATCCGATCAAGAAAAGTTTTTTTTTTTGTACAAACAATATTGAGAGAGGGGAGAATCGAATGTAAGACCAAATGCATAAGTAAATACTCTTAACCACTTGAACTACAAGCCTAATGAAAATATTCAAGTTCAACAATTTCTTTATGTTATTGTATTAATGGATTGAATCCCTCAATACACACTCCCTTAACATAATCCCCTCCTTATAAAAGCTCCCCTATTATTGATCAAAAATCAAGACACCAAATAAATCTATAGTATAATATAAGAGGGTGCAACTCCCTCCAATTCATACACACAAGAAGACAGGAGCCAGATCCTTGTCAAAAAGCTAGCCCGCCTTGTACAAAATTGTGGGTGGTGCATTTATATTTTTATGTGACATCAAATCAAAATTTGTGATTGGGACACATCAGATGCGTGCGCTGCAGCTAGATCATAGCCAAATTATAAGGCTTGGCTTATGCTCCTCTCATGCGTCCTACTTTATATGCATTTTTAGCAATTAGCACTAAGGTTGGCAAATTTTGGTTTTAGACTAAGTAAATTATGATTGCAAATATAGGCTAACAGAGAGGGAATTGAGCCTTTGGTTATTTATAATCACCTTGGGACTCCATGCCGCGGCTTTAGCCAACAGTCAGAATCCTAAGAGCATCTCCACCCACAAGGGCTAAGTCTAAGGCAAGGGCAAGTAAGGGCTGCAACTATTCACGTGAATAGTGTCAGCCTTTGCATTTGTGGTTCCACCCATGAGGGCAAAGTTTAAGGCAAGTCAAGGGCAAGAAAAAAAAATATATGCAACAAAATATAAAATTGTTATGTATTTATAGGGAAAGTGAATAAAATTGTTATGTATTTATAGGGAAAATATCCATAATTTTTTGGTATTTTTTTTTAAAAAAATTGAATTTTTTATAATTTTTTTGAATTTTTTTCGCTCACTGACGTCAGCGCCCTCGGGCTGAAGCCCAGGCGAAAGTTGCCCTTGGGCCTGCCCGGGCTGGTGGGACCCAGCCATTGCCCGAGCTCTTTTCTGCGCGCTGGAGGGGAGTTGGGCTGCCAGGGGGGGCCTTTTGCCCAGGTTTGGGTGAGCGCTGGAGTTGCTCTAAGTTCTATGCCAAATTAGAGTTTTAGATCATTCAATTGTTGGATGTGTCAAAATCACACATGTCTAATCACATAAGTTAAATGTGTCAAACAAACTCTAATTAGACTAAAATGGCAAGGTTAGCTAGATAATACGTACCTTCAAGTATTGTTTCAACATGTGAGATATTTTGGACTAACTAAGTTTTGGTCCAGTCATATGCATTCAACTTTGACCCACTGTTGTTACACTCAAACCTAATTTCAATCTAATCATACAATTGAGTTTCTTGGTTAAGAAAATAGCATGTGCCCTAATTGAAGTTTGAAATATAATCTAAATTCAACAAGCACACGTTTGGGAATGATTCTCGATATGCCAGAATCACTTCTTTGGAGAACCACCTCTCTTAAATAGTATAGACCTTTTAAATAGGCTATATTAAGATTTTATTTTATTTCAAAAAATAGTATAGATGGGCGTGTCCAATGGTTGGAGGGTCCCTTTTTTTTTCAAACAAAAAAAGTACAGTCGCCCTGCTATAATCTATGCCCATAATTTTTTTTTTAAAGTAGACTTGTTTTTACACGTGCCACCTAATCATTGGGGGTCCCCTTTTTTTATATAAAAAAAATTCGTATAGCCAAAAGGCTATAATCAGTTTTTATTTTTAAATGTATAGCTGCACTGCTATACTATTTTACACGTAGAGGCCTAGGCACGCTGCTATACCCTATAAGTAGCCTAATCGTTGGAGGGTCCTTTTTAAAAAAATAAAAAAAAAAGGTACAGCTGCCCGGCTATACTCTGTGGTTTTTAAAAAAAAATTTAAAATAAGTAGCATAATATGTATTTCTCTTTTTATTACTTTGATTAATAGTTATGTTTTAGTGATTATTTACTTAGTGAATATTAAAGGGGGGAAAAAAAGATAAATTGACTTACTATTTATTAAGTAATATAATTCATGAAGTTAATATATTTAATACTAAAAATTAATTAACCTAAACATCCTAAGTTTATTTTTTTTTAAAGATCTCTCCCGACGAAATGTCTTCAGCAGTGTTAGTTTTCGTCGGGAGAAGTCTAATAGTACAAATTTTTGCCGGCATAGACCTCTATCGACGAAAATTCATCAGTTTAGGTTTTTTAACTTTTTTTTAAAATAGTATAGCCGGTCGGCTGTACTTATTTGTGACGTGGGGGGTCTTTCTCTTTTATTTCAATCTCTAGCTACAGAAGCCAACGACAGAGCCCACCTCAATCTGCTGACCAGAACGAGCAGAAGAACGATACTCTTCTGGTGGGCTTGCTGATTCCAAGACCGTGATGATCATCTTCTGGCCTCTCTCGCAGTGCCCAGAAAACTCCACTAATGAAATAGAACAAACCAGTCCGGTGCAATGTGAACGCGGTCGCACCATTGTTGGAGAAGAAGATGGGATGAGCAGAATGGCATTTTTAGTACTCGTCCTTGGTCACCACCATCACCGAATCTTTGGTGGTTGAAATCTAATTCCATGAAAAACGATATCTATTTATATATTTAAAAAAATTAAAAAAAAGAAGAAAAAGACCCGCCTAGCTCCTAGGCGCCCGCCTAGCTCCTGGGCGCCCGCCGCTAGGCCGATTTTAGGAAAATGACTATCTAGTAGCTCAGGGCAAGGCATCGAAAAGTTGAAGAATGAGTCCATGAAAAACAACATCTATAAAAAAAGACCCGCCTAGGCGCCCGCCTAGCTCCTGGGCTCCCACCGCCTAGGCCGATTTTTCGAAAATGACTATCTTGTAGTAGTTCAGGGCAAGGCATCGAAGGGTTGAAGAATGAGATTCTGTTGATCTCCAAACTCCAACACAAGAATCTTGTAAAGCCCAACAAAAGCTTGGATATGATATTATTGGGTTAGTTTCACTGGCCCTTTATGTCTGGCTGCAATTTCTCATTGTCACCTAATCTTTCTTCAGTATCATTGATAATGTCTGAGCTCTTCCTATATCCTAGTATGCCGAACTCAGGGGGACTATTGATTTCATTTCTAATGGCAATGGGTGTATTGATTGGATCCAATGAGAAGAGCAGTGTTTGATTGGGCTAAACGCTTCAATATTATTCAAGGTGTTGCTAGAGGACTTGTTTATCTCCACCATGATTCCTGTTTGAAGGTAAGTAATATTCTGTTGGATGAGAAGATGAGCCCAAAAATTTCAGATTTTGGATTGGCACGTATCTTTCAAGGGACACAGAATCTAGCAAACACTGAGAAGGTTGTGGGTTGAATCTCGATGATAATGTGCAGCAGGGAACAAAAGTATTTCTCTTATTATGTATTTGACAAAACTCTGATAGATGGATCTCTTCAGAAGGTACACTAAAGCTTATGTATTCCGATCGAACAGGGTGAGAACTGGAATCTTAGCTGGCAGGCCCAAAAGAATCCATGTGACCATTATGGAACATGTGGACCTTTTTGGGTTTTGCAGAGCTTCTGAATCTCCAATCTGCAAGTGTTTGAAAGGGTTTGTACCTAAGTCACATGAGGAATGGAGCAAAGGAAACAGGACAGCAGGGTGTGTGAGGAAAACAAAATTGTTTTGTGAGAGTAGTACACAAGCAAGTCAGACACTTCGAGAGGAAAAGGAGATGGGTTTTCGAAGATGGTACGGTTGAAACTACCATACCATGAATATATCACGTCTTTGGATGCTGAAGAGTGCATGATACAATGCCTAAATAATTGTTCTTGCTTGGCTTATGCATATGTTAATAATATAGGGTGTTTGGCCTGGTCCAAAGACCTTATTGATATACAGGAGTTTTCCTCTGACGGAGTAGATCTTTTTATTCTCCTAGACAGTACAGAAATAGGTAAATAATATTGCTTCCACAGCTTTAAGTATAAATATCTTTTCTTTTCTGTCTCACACTGTTTCCATTACAATTTCATTTTTTTCAGACGAAGGAAATCGAACCAAGTTAATTGTCAGCCTGATCACAGCTATTGGTTTAGTATCTTGGGTGCCATGGTGTTTGGTTTGCACAGATTGCGAGCTAACCAAAAGGGTAAGAGAGAGAGAGAGAGAGGGGGGGGGAGAGATACAATTCATTTGTATAAGCTAACAAAGAAATTTTGATGATTGTTATCTGACTCAGTATTTGATTGTTATATTTGTCAAATCAGGAAAAGTCAAAGTAACAACAAAGTTCTTTAAATTGACTGATACTTAGACTTCAAGAGACACTCTTCAAGATATATTAGAAACCAAGATCCAGCTTCCATCTCAAAGGATGGTCAATGATACCGTACGTACAATGAGCCAGTAATTCGATGAGGCAAAGGTTTACTGAACTTATCCCTGTGCAAGTATTATGATTCTGGTTTGTAATTATCTTCCAAGATTATCATTATGCTAATTAAGCACGAACGAACCCAATAATTTGGGCACGATCTACTGTACAAGGCCTTCCTCAGTCAGAAAGATGCCAATGTTGCTGTTGCTGATCATGTGAGTGAGTGTACATATAGTCCTATAATATATAGGATAAGTATACATGTATTGTGCTCATCTGTATTATGTACGTAGAAAGTAATTTAATATAAAGTGATATGCAGGGTGTGTCCGTCGGTTTTCTTTTCTTCAATAATATGGTGTTGAGTTGGAGAAAGGGTAAAACTGGCAATTAATTAAGTTCATAAGAAAATGTTTTTTTCTCTTTAGTAAATTTGGCTTACACCCTTCAAATTCAATTTGTCATACCTAAAACCCTTCACTTTTTGTTCCTATAAATAATACCCAATTTGTATAAGTAAAAACCCATGACTAGGATTCAACTCAGCAAGTTACCTAATTAAGTATAAAATCTGATTTATTGTACTTTTTAGATTCCAAAAATACCCCCAACTAAGCCATTATTGCATTTTGTATATTAATGTAGGAATCAATAAGGAAACAATTTTTAATTGGATTGTATATAATGACAGATGTTGAATTTTGAAAGATCTCCAAATGGTTGTAATGGATGTAGGAATTAATTTTGAAACATTTTTTTAAAAAATTTAACAATAAATTCAAATTTGGGTAATCGGTTTGTTTAATAAAATGTTTATGTTATTTTCTTTTTATGAATTATACATGACTAATAATCCACTTTATAATTGTTTATGAATAAAACTATACATACTAATTATGTTGAAAAAATAATGTACCTATTACTTGTTTGTTTTATGAAAAATATAATTTACCTAGTATGAAAAGTGTACATAATTATCTATTCCAATATACCTACATTATACGACATCCAATATACCTACATTAATTTTAATGTACTTACAATTAGGATTTAGGTATTATATGTCATCCAATGTACCTACCATTTGAATAATATACCTACTACGAATAAAGTACCTATTATTTATCTAAATAATGTACCTATTTTTTATCTAAATAATGTAATTTATTTTTTTTCTATAAATAATATAGCCTTTTTTCTCTGAATAAAGTAACTATCATTTGTTTTATTAAAAGTAATTTTTTTAAATGAACCTATTTTCTCTCTCCAAATAACTTACCTATTTTTTTCCTCTAATAATGTACCTATTTTTCATAGGTACATTAATTATTGGATATGTAATTTATTGGATACCTATATTTTATATGTATATATTTATATTATAATTTTCATAAGTACATTATTGGATATGTAATTTACAGATTTTTTTTTGTTTGAAATTTTAAGGGGCGAGATGTGAGAGGGAATGACAACTATAAGAAATGGGGTGATTGATATGCTATTAATAGGGAGTATATTAATTACAATTATGACAGTTAATGAAATGCTTGAAATAAATTATAAATAAAATATGAAGTTTAGTGGCAACAATGTAAAAACATAGAAATACTACGACCTCTTATATTCTACTGGTCATTTAAATTTGAAATTGGGTTTTACACATAGATTTATAGAGTGATGGGTATATGTCTAGGAAATAGAAAATGTATGGATCTATATTGGACAAGCCCTTTTCTCTTTCTTGAAAACTTCAACCAGGTGTAACACTACAAAGAGAGAGCGTGAAATCACAGTTCCTCTAAGCTAAAAAGGAAGGGACTGACTGAGTGAGGACCCAACGATCAGACTTGCCCAAAAAAAAACTCAACAAGCAGATTTGAGGTGGTGACCTAGACGATGTTAAGGCAGCTACCAGGCTAACAAGGAGAGATATAAGACCCATAAGTATTTTGTGAAGTCTACAGTATGGCCGCTGCTACACCAACCGTACAAAGTATCTTATGGGTCTTGAGTCTCTCCTTAACAGCCTGCCCGCTGGGTTGACCACCTCAACCAAGGGAGGTGGTGAGTTCCGGATCCATTTGCTTGTTTTTTCGGCTTTCTTCTCAGGTAGGTGCAATGGGGTTGTGCTGCTGCTTTCTTTTTGACTGTTTTTATTTGTTATTGTTTAGGTTAATTTCTTCTTCTTCTTCTATTCTTCTTCAAGTGCATGATTGATCATGGAAGGGAGTTGTTGTGTTTTCAGGGTGACGAGAGGAGGGCGAGAAAGAGCAAGGATTCATTCCCTTAGATTAAACCGAGACCCCCAAGCCAAACCAAAGTGACTTGTGAGAAAAAGGGCAAAAACTATTATATTGAGCTGAGTGATACCGGAGCACATGATATGTGGCCATTGAATTTGGACCTTACACATAATTTGTCATCCACTATGATATCATAATAGAATCACAACATTCAATTAAATACTTTCAGACAATTACTTCTTCTGAGATGTGGATTGATATATAATGCCATTTTAAAGTATATTTTTTGTCCATCATTAAGGTTAATTTTGTTTTGAATAAAAACAAAAGGTTATTATTGTTATATCACAGTCGACCCACCAAGACCAAACCAAGAATCTTGTACTGTTTCAAGTCAAGCGTACTCAAGAAAACAAAACAAAACAAAATACAAAGAAATTATTAGTATTTGGATTCTTGATCATGACTCATCGTGAGCGAAATGCACGTATGTGTAGTCATATCATATCACTTATGAAGCTATGATCACTACACTTATTATTAGCCAGAAGCCAGAGCATGGAGAAAAACTTAGATGCACATGCACCTATGTGTTGCTGTAATTACAAGATATAATACAAATTAATTCAGTCGTTAAAGGCATATCAACTATTATAATGAGATAAAATCAGAATATGATGGGGCGGCACATAATAAAATTAGAGAAAATCAGGCTGATCACGATTTGGAAATAAGAATGAGTTAAAAAGAAATGAAATTAGCATATATGATATCAGGAAGTAGCCTTTTTCTTTTAAGATTAGCAAGTGATTCTGGGCATAAGCACCTTCTATGTGCTTCTCCATAAAATCACTTAAATCCACTTGAAGTGATTCTCCACAGAAGTGTTTTTTGGCCTATCCAGAATCACTCTCAAATGAGCCCAAAATAGAAACAGTTGAAATCCGTAATGACACGCAAGCATGGCATGTGCATAGATGGTGTGACATATATATAACAAAAGTTCAAAAATACTCCAAGGCTTCACATTATAATAGAGGAAATATCACATTTTTCACACACCACAACCGAAATATCTGCCGTTCCCTACCACCTTGGTGGTTGCTTTAAAATCTCATTTTGCCTTCAAAACCAGTAAAAAACCAAACAAAGCCGCAACATCTCATAGGACTTCCAACTTCCATTTGCACATGACTGGGGCTATGGCCCTTCAGCTCATGCTTTTTGTAACGTAAAGGGCAAAACAAAATTAAATTTGAGCACGAGCCGACAATGTTCATGTGCCTAAATTGAATGAGAGTAACTTTTCCTTGGAGAGTAGTTAATTAGGTGCACGTTGGCAAATTGGCTTGAGTGTGACTGCGAAAATTAAGTACTATGATGATATGTTGCATGTGAGCCGCAATGCCTATGTTGTATGACAAGGACGTTTTGTGGAACAAGTCCCATCCCCATTCCTTTTATGTTGCTTAATTATTTGTCCTCTCACTTCAATATTCATTTCCCATTGCATACAAATCTTAAATAAATCCTAATCATAATGCAATCATTCGTAAACCACACGTATCAATTACATTATAAATATCTAGTAAGTCTGAATCATTTGGTGTTGGTGAATTTAAAAGAAGAGAAGATATCAATAGATATTTTTGTTGATAGAGATTCGAAATTCGTTTGCGAAAAAGAACACGTGTAATAATATAATAATTAACTCACATAAAAAGTAAAAATACAAGATATAAGTCGGTTAAAAAATATGCATGTGTAATAATATGATTAGACCACGTCAAACGGGAAGATAAATAGATGGTAATGGGTGAGAAATCAAGCATTATCCCTTAAGCAAATGAAATATCTTAATTTTGAGCATTTTGTCTCAATCTCTAGTGCACGCAAACCACATTTCATACAGCATCCCTACAAATTCGAGCTCCTCATAAAGTGCAACGCCTTCCTTTTATAGTAAGAGGTTTGAAAGGCAAAAAGGCAGCCACCAACACCAAAGAGCATGCGGAGAAGATATTTAGTGAAAGTTCAGAGGAGAGAGTGTGTGTGAGTGCATTTTTTGACACATGTATATCGTTTACCACGTGTGGAAATGCCTCCAACGATATTTGAAGCGCATTTGGTGCTTGGCTTATCCAACAGCCACTTCCCTCAATATGGCCTTGAAAAGTTCTCCCTTCGTATCCTAGTACTTCTTCTCTCTCCTCTTGGTTTTTCAATTGCATTTTTAGCTTTTAACTTCTCTCTCTAGCTCTGTCGAGCATCTGCAGCTTGGACCTTGGCCTTTCTCCGATGTCCACTCCTTCACCGCCGTTGGAAACTCCAATGTAAGTTCATCAATGCCACTATGTTTTCCTGCACAAATGCTATAACAGCTTCTCACACCCGCACGTGAGTGATTGTTAATCGTTAATGCCCGCGTGGACAATTTAGAAAGCAGAGCTATTTCATTCCTATATATCATGCCAAGAAATCGAAATGATCAAATAAATTATCATTGCTTCTTCTTCTCTCTCTAGTGTTGTCGTTGTGGTTGTGTTTGTTGAATTTTGAATTGATAAATGTTGGGATCCAAAAGGAGATTTCAATTGGCATCTCTTTTCTTTCCCTGTATCTTTCTTAGGGGCGACTGGACTCTGGACCAGCAGCAGCAAATTACCATTTTTTATAATGGCCAAGTTTTCGTTAGCGACGTGACTGAACTTCAGGTACTTGATAATGATCTCATAAACTAACTTCCGCATCACTTTTTTTTTCCCCTTTACGTAGATAACCTGACATGTTATATTTGTGACGTTAGGACCACTGACTAGATCGAGTCATGCTACGCATCTTCGTACAACTAAAGCAAATAAAACATAATTTAAAATTTTCATTGAAATAACAGAAACCTATCAAGTGGTTTAACAACTAAGTTTTTGATTTCATGTAGGCTAGGGCCATGATTTTGTTGGCAGCTGGAGATATGGCAGAAAGGGGGATATCAAGTGTGTCAAACGCAGCGTTGCTTGCATTGCAGTCTCAAATATATGGGCCTCCAGGTGTGTCCATGAAGAGGTCTCTTCAGAGCTTTCTCCAAAAGAGGAAGAAAAGAAGTCAAGAAGCTTCTCCATACAACAGCCTACAATAGTATATTATATATTATTATAGCATTTGCTGCAATTAATTAATTCTAGAGATCAGTTATTTGGATTTAATATGTATGCCATAATGTCAAGGCCAATGTGACATGATTATGCAGCCCCATTTTTTTCAATATGCTAAATTGCCAAATGTACAAGTTTTACTGCCACAAGTAATTGGCTTATTAGTGAAAATAATTAGGAGGTTTTTCCCTCATTTGGAAAGAAAAAAAACAGTGAATTTTTTTTTCTTTTTCTTTTTGCTTTTGATGAACATTTCTCGAACATTTAGAATATTAATTTCAGTTAATAATTAATTGTAAATCATTGAATTTTCATATAACAACTTGAGAAATTATGATGTATTTAGATACAAAAAAGATGAATTCACCCTACAAATAACTGGGTCATATGACCGACATTTAGATATGCAAGTCTCAATATTCAACGAGGAACTGTGTTGAGGGGTTACAATGAGACCGTTCAATCTAACAATTCAATAATACCTCCGCACTTGAGTCTGAATCAAACAACAATTAAGAACCCTCTCACTGTTAACCTCCCATTCATTCTAGCCTCCTGCTTTAAGTTTAACAGAGCACGACAATACCCAATAATTTTCTCTCACCTAACAATTCTTGGATTTCCGTACAAATTTATGTTGGGCCGGGCCCATCGAAGATATACATTTTTATGTGTAACTCATCGTCCTCAATTGACCATACGAGGGAGCCGGAGGGTTCTCTTCTTCATCAGTCAGTCACCAGCAAAAGCTAAACACTAACACCCAACAGTGCTTGTTTGTCAGTATTATGTCGTCTGTCAGAGCCGCAGAGAGAGAAATGCATCGAGGAGAGGACGAAGACGACGAACGACGTCGTCAGAGGAAGCTAGAAGAAGCCCTCGAAGTCAAATCGCTCAGGCGCATCATCAGCGCCTACCTCAAGTACCTCTCTCTCTCAATTCTTAAACACTTAAGTTTGATTTCAAATTTGTTGATTTTCTTATATGATTTTGAAAGCTTGATGCTTTCGTCACTGTTATTAATTTCAACATCAAAATTCACAAGCTTTAAGTTTAATGGTTGCTGTACAAATTGTCTTCAAATGTTTGGAAGGAAAAAAAAAGGCTTTCGGTGCCTTTAGCATTGCCACATTTTCAGCTGAAATATATCTTTGTTATATTATTTTATATTCTGGTCTATTTGCTTGTGTGTAATTTCTTTATCAAAATTTCATTCACTTTCAAGCTCTGCTATGGTTTTGAGCCCCTTTGATCATGTATGGTGTTGTAGCCTATTGTGCCCCTTTGTCACATAGATGTCAAATGTCTCTCTGAATTCTGATGTATTGGCATTGGCTTGGTTTATACAGCTACCCGGAGGCAGCAGAAGAGGACGTGAGAAGATATGAAAGATCTTTTAAAATGCTTCCACCTTCCCATAAGGTACTAATATAAGTTCTTTTGTATCTTTCACTACCAATTGGGTTAGAGTAAGTGAGTTGCTATTACACTATCTTCAATTTTTATTGCAGGCTCTACTGTCCCACTACCCTTTAAAGTTTCAAAGACTAAGACGGTAAGTTCTCCTCGAGTATTTTCATCGCGTTAGTTTTTAAGTTTCTAATATTTTGATAACAATCCAATGACTGGCACATATATTCTAAATTGTAACGTGTATCGGCGCAGTGCCTATGATGTAGATTTAACGGTGGAGCTAGCAAAGCTTAGAATATTAACACTATGTCCAATTTCTAGGTAAATGTGGGGGAATTTGCTTACAATTAACACAATGCCGTAGTATTATAGAGTCTTAGTGTGTTTAAAAATAGCTGGTGCCTTTATTTATTTGAACTAAGGATGCCCAACATAACATGTTGTAACGAATTCTGTGAAATAGCTTAGGGGCTTTCTGTTCAAATATAATTTTTTAAAAAAAAAAAAAAAAAAAAAAAAAAAAAAAAAAAAAAGTTATAGTTTAAATAAAATAATGGTCTGACTGGTTAATTATGCAGGTGCATTTCAGGTAAATTCATATTTCATTTTTATCATGCTTCAGGTTAGTTCCAACATCCCTCTTATCTTGTTTTCTTTCTAAAACTTGATTCACTTAATGATGTTCTGATGACCTTTTGATATTGCAACACTTCATGACTTCTCAAAGGACTGACATTATGTGAGCGATTCCTCAAACTGGTGTAATTGGTATTAAGGTATCTTGACTTCTTTTGTCTCCCCAAAATTATATTACATTGCAGGCATTTGAACCCCCGCTTGATTTGAGCCAGGACACAGATGTCCGTGATGGCCCACATCTTGAACGCGTCTCATATAACCACGATGTTTCTGGAGTAAAAAGTGTTCGCTCTTCTCAGTCTAACTCCACAAGTGAAAGAATGCATATCTCCAACTCAGATCAGGCCTGTTGTGGGGAAGGGAGCAGTGCAGTCTGCAGTTCACCAATAGGGGTGACTACCAAAAAGGTTTCTGCAACACTTACATGACCACATTAGCTGTTCATAAATGATAATTAAATGTATAAGGTTTCATCTTCAATAAAAAAATGCATAGTTTGCTTCATCTCTGTCTTTTTTCATTTAGAAATTTGACCTCTGTAGATAACCACAGGAGGTAAACAATGAAGGTCATTGTGATTCCATCACTGAGCGACACGCTTCAGGCAGGGAATATAACAGAGAGATGCATAACTGTGATGGGAATGATGCCATTGATTCCAATGGAGATGTATGAGTTTTGGTTTATTTCTAGCTGTAATACTTCACAACTTATTTGAACATGTTTTTGACTGATATGAACTAAGTTAATGTGTTTCTGGGTATTAAATACTGAAAATTTAATCAACTGGGACCACATTGTGCCTCACCACAACTTACTTTCTAAATGCACTGTATGTGTCGCTTTTAAATTTTTTATCCTTGTCCAAATTTTTCAATTGAAAATTGTACCTATCTTGGTGTTACAAATTCAGGTGTCCTCACCAACTCGTACGTGGTTGGATCCATCATTACAGTTACATGTTCCGTTAGTTGATGTTGATAAGGTATGTTGGAAATCTGGTTCAATGAGACTCTTTTCTTTTCTTTTCTTTTTCTTTAAATAAGAAGAAATACAACCAGTACATGCGTCAAATTTAAGTTTAATGTCCTATTTTCTTTTTCCCCCTACAGGTTCGTTGTATTGTACGAAACATAGTTAGAGACTGGGCGGCAGAGGTACTTCATGATTTATCATTGATTTCTGGGTTCAAGGTTATCACATCTGTGGATCCAAGTTTTACTTTATTCTGTTATTATATTTAATACAGGGACAGAAAGAACGTGACCAGTGCTACAAGCCTATACTTGAAGAACTTGATTCACTATTTGCTGATCGCTCTAAGGAAAGGTACTATTATTTTCTGTTGTTGGTTTTATTTTTTCATATGTGTCTTCCTGTCGTTGTATTGTTTCTTGACCGTTGTAAAGAACAAATTACTATTTCTTAGTGTGTGAGTGTTTTTTTATTCCTTGTACTTTACTGTATATGCTAATCGTAAATTATGTTGAACAGTCCTCCTGCCTGTTTAGTTCCTGGTGCTGGACTTGGGCGACTGGCTTTGGAAATTTCATGTCTAGGTGTGTATACATTGTTCCGTTGCTAAGAATTCTGCTTTTCCATATATTCACACTCATGGCTATTGTTTCTCAAATTCTATACAGGTTTCATAAGCCAGGGAAATGAATTTTCATACTACATGATGATATGTTCAAGTTTTATTCTCAATCAGTAAGGATGTCATGACCCTTTTCTTACCACGGAAGAGAGTTTTTAATTTTTAGCAATAAATTCTTTGTCCCATATATTTCATTTTCCTTCTCTATGCTGTTTTTTTTCTTTTCCTTAGATGGTTTTGTTTTGTTTATCAGTTCTCGAACTGCTGGGGAGTGGACAATATACCCTTGGATCCACAGCAATTGCAATTCACTTTCAGATAGTGACCAACTTCGTCCCGTTTCAGTACCAGATATTCATCCAGCAAGGTATTGATGCTGCTACTTGGGTTCTTTTCTTTGAAGTAATGCTACGGAAGTGTCATTTGTTGGCATAATTTCAGTTCTTTAAAAGCTTTGAAGGCGTTTATTCAAGAACCTTTGAGTTACATTGAAGTTGAATGGATACTGTTGATGGGATACTCTTAGACATCAGTTTTATTAGTGGCCTAGAAAGAGTTGACAATGGTTGCCATTAAGTTGTAGTAAAACTCATAGAAACATTCCCCTCACAATTTTTCCCCTGCTTATACCGTCACAGTTGACTGGACCATATAAAAGATCTCCATTTTACTCCAATGATATGCTTTTTGTAATATGATTAATACGCTTGTAAGATAAAATTTTAACATCCCAGAATGTTTATTCTGAAATTTGATAAATTGATTTATAAAACGTTGGCATACTTTGTTTTTTGTTCGAGGATAATTTTGTTTTCCTAAAAATTTCCATTAGGATTTGTTTTCCAATAATTGTAGATTTTCTTTCAAGCAGTGCAGGGATTACCGAAGGCTTTTCTATGTGTGGTGGTGACTTTGTTGAGGTTTATAATGATCAAAACCAAGTAGGTAAGGAAATCTCTATGTCATAATCGTGGGTTTCTTATATTTAAACATTGTAATTGATGCTAATGATTAGATATTTTGAGCACCTAGTAGTAGTAAATATCATGAGAGATTTATCATTAACGTCTATAGTATTTCACATCACGTACAGGTGTTTGGGATGCAGTTGTGACCTGCTTCTTTATTGACACGGCGCACAACATTGTCGAATACATTGAAATCATATCAAGAATCTTGAAAGATGGTGGAGTAAGTTCCGCAATCAATCCGGATGACTTTAATTTTGTTCCTGTCTTATAGCTTTATTAATGCCTTAATTGATTGGATGACAGGTTTGGATAAATATGGGCCCACTACTATATCACTTTGCTGAGATGTATGGGCAAGATGATGTAAGCTTCCTGTCAATAAAGCACATTTCGCTTGCTCACATGCTCTGAGGAAGGCCAGTGTTTTAAAATTGTTTTTGTTCATTTTATAGGAAATGTCCATTGAACTGAGTTTGGAGGATGTGAAGAGGGTTGCTTTGCACTATGGATTCCATTTTGAGGTAACCTCATCCCAATTCTGTCTTGTTGATTTAGCATCATTGGATGATCATACCCGTATAAATTGACTTCTTTCATGGACTGCAGAAGGAAAAGACCATTGAGACAACCTACACTACAAATCCTAAGTCAATGATGCAAGTAAGTCCTACCATATGTAGTGGCTTTTTTCTTTTCCCCCTCTTTTTAGTCTCCTTTTACTGTAGTAATCTCTAGCGGGAGCTTTGCATATAAATCCTTGGACACCGGTAATTTCAGATGCACCCCTTGTAGGGGCATTGCTCTATACAGTAGGAGCCCAACTAACGTCAGACTGCTGGTTTTAAAGATATTAAAATATTATCATACCAATAATTAAAGAGAGATTAAGTTCTCAAGTTGTTTAGGACTTTGACACGTGTTCAAAGCCGACGAGGAGTTGTTTTTATATACCTTTGCCGCTTCAATCAACTTAAGGTCCTTTTTCCTTGCAGAACCGATACAATGCTGCATTTTGGACAATGAGAAAGAGATCAGCAATAGCAACGGAGCAAGCCACTCCTTAGGTGCTTAACATTTCACATGCTTGCTGGCTAGCTAGCGACTAGGTCTTTGTCAAGTTGATAATTATATATTATATATATATATTTCGTGGTAATTTACCACACATTATGTTAACGAAGTGCCGTTGTCTAATTATCTGTGACTGATTGAAAGGCATTTTTCGGATGTGCAAAGTTATTGAGATCGTGGCTAAATGCAACCCTTTCTTTTTTAATTGTTCTTGATTATTAGATTTTCCCTCTGGCGGAAGCTAAGAGCACAATACATTTTTTTCAACTCAAATTATGCCACATTAATATCATGCCTTATTCTCGAAATAAATTCATTCCTGTCAGGGAACAAGCCTAGCTAAGCTACAATAATTCTTCACCCTTCCCCCTCCAAAATTTATTACAATCCAAGCCAAATTGGTGCATGCCCCACATTATTATTGTCACAATTTTCTGTATAAAAGCTTTACCCTTTTCTTTATCTTTTCCCACCTCAGGTTAAATTAATTATTATTGTGAAGAATTTCTTTTCCAAACTTTACCTGAAAAATGCTACGCGTGTTGCCCAAACAAGAATATTTGTTACGGCGAAAAACCTAAGACTCAAAAAAAATGACAATCTGAAATGCTGCGGAGCACCGAAAAGGGAAGGGGGAGAGAGAGAGAGAGAGAGAGAGAGAGAGAGAGAGAGAGAGAGAGAGAGATCATGCTGACTGATACAATAACTGAATATGAAATATCAGAAAATGAGCTGGAACAAAAGGAGTTTTGAAGGTTCTGTAAGACTACCCTGTACATTCTATCCCTATGCTTCCAGTTCAACACAGAGCACCAAAATAAAGCTCCCAGAAGAACCAACTTCCAGACTCAAACTCCCCTCCATCCAGCATTCCCATCATAATACACATTTATGCATTGACTATGAATTCACCAAAATGAGCATCACATGTTTTCTTAATTTTCAGAACAGTAAAAAGTAGTTAACAACAAATAAAACCGAAGCCTTTAAAATTACTTCGACAAAGAAGCACTCCCCCATACTGCCACGTCCCTCCTCTCAAGCAGATTCACTTTGTGAAAGCGGCTGAAATGCACACGGTTGTGTACTGCCACATCCCTCCTCTCAAGCAGATTTCACTTTGTGAAAGCGTCTGAAATGCACACAACCACCAATGATGGATCATGTTTTTGAGAAACCTTCCGGAAAACCTGTAGTTCTCCACTATCCCCTCACTGATTCAGAGTTCATTTGACCTCCACCCCCGCCGTGGGCATTAAGATCAGCAATAGGCATTGACCTTTGAGCAAAATCTGACAAAAGCTTCCGTTGACGCTCATCAGTGTGAGGAAGACTAGCACGTAGAAGCTCCACTGGCATTTCACGATGGATTGCCTTGGTAGCCTCTGAACCAATAACTTCTGTGCTTTGCTGAGGCTGTGTAAATATTGTTTGTACTATAGTTTCATATTTACTCAAGCAATACTTGGTAAGAAGACCAAAGAATTCATCAAAGGATGCCTGCCAAAGGGCACGGTTAGGCCTGCTGCAGTTTCCAGCAGCGTGAGGGTCACTTAAGATTTCAGTTGCCCTTTCAAGAACAGATTTTAGAATAATAGTGGCCCCATCTCCAGAAGGGCTTCCAAGGGGTCGGAGTGGGGGCTGCTCTGATGAACAAACTACTGCAACGAGACAAGCACTTAGTGCACGAAGATCCATACCATTAATGCACGTAGAAACTGTCTTTGCAAGATTAGTAGTTGTCTCAGCGGCTCCAGAATCAGATGGTAGGCCACCAAACAAAAACCTTAAATGCCGGAATATTGTCATACAGACAATACGGGCAAGCTCACTACCAGGGAAGAGAAGCTGAATATACCTAGAAAGGAATTTTCGGCCCTTAGGAAGAGACACTAACCGTAGGAACACAAGGTCATCCTTTGGAGCCAGCCCAACTGCATGGGTGCCTTTACCAAGTGGATCGACAAGCTGAAGTGATGATGCCAACCCTTCTAACAAGATTTGCCGCCTTCGCCTGAGTTGAACCCCACCATCTTGGGGCTGACCATGCTGTATAAGTCGATCAATATCATCAACATCAAGGAGGAGACAAAGGCCATCCTCAACGGCAATTCTAGCAGCAAGCATTGGTTCCTGCTCCAAAGGCTTCTCAGAGGCCTGTTCACCATCACCAGAACCAGAGGGAGGGTCAACTTCAAGGAGGGGGCGAGGCCTACGTATGGAAGATAGAGGAATTCTCCCAAGAGCATCAACAGAACTATGAGTATGCTGATCACTACTATTACGACCTCGGGAAGGGAACTCTCTCAGATGAGATGGGCAGAAAGGTTGTTTTGACCGCGACCCAGCTGATTTTTTTGAAAGACTTGCCTGATGGTAATAATCATCGATATATGGGTCGTTGCTATGTGTCGCAGCATGCTGCATCTTAAGAATACTCTCTATCTCTTCGGATGTCATGTGCTTAGACCTGAACTGGATCCACCCACTCTCACTTTTCTGACTACCAGTATCAGAGCCTTGAGAATAACGCTGTTTTCCTCTATGTTTAGGTCTATGATCTCTTGTGTCAGACAACCCATGCATTCCCTTATGTGAAGGAGAAGGATGGGTACTATAAAGTTGCGACTGCATTGCTGCAAAATGGGCCAAAGATGGCTGAACCGAATGGTGCAATCTCTGCTGTTGTAACTGCTGCTGAGCTGACAGTAATTGTGGGGACAGAAGTCCATTTTGATGAGGGTGCTGTTGCTGCAGTATATTGTTTATGATGCTGGAATGATCCCCATGCAAAACTCCAGAATGCGTGGCCCAATGATTTTGTGCCCTGCTATTGAAGGGAAGGCCAGGGTTGGTAAACTGAGGCATGTTCCCTCCATAATGCAACCCATGAGGTAAACCAGCCATAAGAAGATTAGAGTTAGATAAAGGAGAAAGGTTTGGGGCAGAAAAGGGCAACTGGGAACCACCAGCAAGAGTAGAAATATTCAGCTGGTGGTGTGGTGAACCCTGCTGGGACCTATTTCCAGGAGGTGGGAATGATGTGAACGTTGATTTGGGCATTAAAATTGGTTCACTGGTGAAGTGATGCTGGACAGGCTGCTGCTCGGGGTATGAGGATGTTCTGTACAAAGGTTTTGGTTGTTTTGATTCGGAAAATCGGGCAGAAGAAGGCTGGGGCTGTGACGACCACCTCTTACCTTCCTGGGAACTTTCTGTATCAAACATATGCTGATCTAACCAGTTACTGAAATCTCCATCTTGGGCCCAATCAGCAGCAGATGAACCTGAACAGAACTACGCGTTAATAAAACAGAAATAAAACTCCGAAAGCTGGAGTTGTAGGGAATAAGTGCTATTTACATTTCATCTAAAATGGTAGAGATCAAGCACACCATGAGGTCCAAAGAAGTGATTTAATTTAGATTGAGATCAAAGGAGAGGGTATAATAACCATACTAATAGTTCAACACCAAAGAAACATAATGACTTTCAATCTAACTGCTACTGTTTTTAGCCAAGTTACTTTTATATTTTGGATACTTTAACATTGTATACTACAAAGAGCCAATAATCAACTAAATATTTATATTAAATCTTCAGCATGCAAGTCGAAACCCTGGTTCCACACATAAATTTAGAAGAACCCAGTCTTATCATGTCATAAATAGGACAAAAGCTTCTCCTATATGCTAATAAAACTTCAATCATACACTAATCAAAGCGCTAATTATCAAGCATATGAGACTGATCTGACATTAAGAGTTTATTTAGGAAAAATAAAAAAAAACTAGAGCATAATTGTAGAATGAATAAAGCCAATACCCCAAGAAGTTAACTTGGAAGCACCAGGATGAGTATTTTAGATATTAAATAATAACAAAAAATTTGCAAACCCATTTTTTAAAGGTAAAAGAACCATTGAGTTTAAGGCAGAGTTGTACAATTTTTCTCGTTTTAATATTCTGCTAACACAAGTGCATTCAGGTTTCAATTCGATGCACTGTAGACTAAAATACGTCCTCTATTGTTAACAGAGGTAATACAATCTGTGCAGGTGCATGTTCAACTAATTCATTTTTGCTAATTATATTATCTAGCATTGAAAATAGAAAATTGCAACGGTTTCCAAAACCAACATAAATTTTTTGCTTACAATTAAAATGATTGAGATGCAGGTACATAAGAATACAATCTCAAATGAGATCACCAGCAGTTTAAAGCTTATCACATAATTGGACAAAGGAATAAATCCAAACCAAAACGCAAGCACAACAAACCTAAGCACCATCATAACATAACAAAAGTTGACAGTTTGTTACTCACTTTCCCGTGAAAAGGATCCAGAACCTCTGTCTCCTATAACTCCTGGATGTCTTGGTCCCGTTACAACTTTGTTTAACTATATAAAAGAAGAAGAAAAAAGAGTCATTAAGAATTAGTTGGGGCAGAATGGCCAATGAAGATGAACATATAAGGACAATGCACACAACAGACAGAAAAAGACAAAACATTCTCCAAAAACAAAAAACACCACTGCTACTGAAATTTTGAGTTTGAGAGACAAACAGATTCATTGATCATAGCAATCACAATTAAGCATAAAGTTACATTGAAGGAAAAAAAATGTATTCTGGTACATTCAAACAAGTGAATTTACTGGGTAGAAACCATCATCAGTGAGTAGTAACTACCAGCTGATAATATTCTGGATGAAAATCATAGCTGTATCATTACAGTCTTTTCTTTGATATAATTATCAGCAATGCAGCATATGAAATAGAATCTCAAGACAAATAAAAGTAGGACATATATTAAGATATTGAAGAAAATTTCCTAACTTCAATCACAAGCTTATGTATACATATGAGCAAAAACATACTGATTAAAGTATCTCATAACTAAATGTCATGTAGATACAAACTCAAATTGTTGCAAATCATCAAAATTAAGAAAGCTCACCTTTGCGAAAGTACTTGCCAGATCATCCACGTCAGATAAAGATCCCAAACCTAGACCCTAAATGCAAAAATAAATATCAATGTTAATAAACAGGTTTTATATCACTGAAAGCTAAAAGTCACCAATACAGAGCCTACAACATATGTTCATTATACTAAATAGACAATAAACTCAAACTTCATCACAATGAAAAAAAAAATTAGGGAAATGGTTGCCCATACCATAGCATCAAGCATAATGTTAGAGTACTCAAGCATGAACTACGCAAAACATACGCACACCAGTTGTAGTGGCAAGTGAACAATACTTAGTGTGAAAAAGTGTAAAAAGGTGTAATGGACCTTACATGCAAATTGAACAAAGTCAGCTATTGCACAGTTGGCCTTAGAGTCTATATTAAGATTAACGGGGAAAATCTAACCTCATCCTTCTCAAATAAATGGTACTCATTATCAACAGGGCCAAATAAAGGTTTTCTGTCTTCCTCATCTTCCAAACCCCCCAACTCAACTTCTTCCACCAATTTTTGACCGAAAAATTCGTATTGTGAGGCATCAAAGAGTTTATTATCTGTATGACAATCAAAACAAAGTTAGACATCCAAATCAAGAGAGCTACTTCAATGATATATAAACGAGTAAAGCTGCAAAAAAGAACCATTCATGTCATACCCCCAACATTAATTTCCCACACATTTCACACCACAATGTCAGCTAAATTTTCAATAATTCTCATAAACTAGTCATATGAATTCAGTCAGGACAAGAACCTTGGCCAAGGTCATACAGCTGCAACTATCAATAAAGCAAAATTAAGCTAAACCCAATTGACAATAAGAAGTAAAGTCCCAGCAAAAATAATTGGGCAACCAAAAAATATATTCATGGACAGAGCTCATAATCATCAACTCCAAACTTCTACTTTTAAACCAATCTTCCCAACAAGCTACAGAAAAAGAATTTCCCAACAAACAATCAGAAAGTCAAAAAAAACCCTAATTTTTTTTTCATTTTGTGGTGAGAAAAGATAGGAAAAAGAAAAGAGAATCTCATGCCATTAGTTTCCTCAAACTAAAAAAGACATTTAAACATTTATGATTTTATTTCCTTCCACTTTCTCAGCGTACAAAAAACCTCTTAATGCGAAGAAAAAAAAACTACAGATCTTGAAGGTTAAAAAGAAACCTGAGGAACCTGAGGAACTCTCGAGAAAGTCCCTAAAATCTGCGCCATTAGATCTCTCCATATTTACAGAACGACCAACAGCGTCCGCGACCCTAGAATTCGAAGCCCCGGTGCAGAAGCGAAAACGACGTCGTCTTGGTCAGGATCAGCATCAACGAAAAAAGCCGAAACTCGAGGGCTTCATTTGGAGATTTACGCGGTGGACGGAGACAAGGGCGAAGAAAAATGGGGATGGCAGGGAGTGTAGATAGTGGGGAAATCGTAGGGCCAAAGTCGGAGAGGTCGCGAAAAAGGGTTAACCCCTCTCAGAAGAGAGAGGGATGTAGGGAGAAAGGGTTATGAGGTTAGGTCATTTTGCAGCACCGCGAATGAAGAAGACGACTTTCGCATTCGCGCACGTGCTTCCTCCAGAGAATGGCGGTGAGAAAACACGCAGAGAGAAGTGGCGGCCTCTGATTGGCTCAGCTCCAACTGTTTCTTTCTGTATTGAAGCTCGGATATTCGGACTTCGGAGGCCCGATATGGATCCTTGGGTCCGGGTCCGCCTTCTGACCAATGAAGGAGTTACGCGTGTCGCGGTGTGACAATGGCACTTGACCTTGACTTGGAGAGAGAATAGAATGTAAGGGCTCCACGGTGAGATTAGGTGACACGTCATCGTGTTATGAGAGGATATTCTCTGTGGCTAGGATTTAGAGAAGAATATGGGAAACGGTGCCGTTTTGGTGGACATTCTAATTTTGCTATGATATTTTTCAAAGGAAGTGTTGGTTTTCTTGGAAATTTTCTCGTTTTTATGAAACGTGCAAGATGGGGAATCAGAAATGATGATTAGGGTAGGGCTAATAGTCTCGTGTAAGCAAGAGAAATTGGGTAAGGAAGACAAGTATAATATTAATTTCCTAGAAATTAGGTAGCAAAGAAAACTCTAATTGAGAGATGAAATGAAAGAGAGAAAATGTGAAAGATTATTACAATGAGAGAATGCATAGTCACGTGATATTTTAAAAAAACGTCAATTCACAGTTGATCATAATAATTGATGTAATAAGTAAATCAACGTAAATTAACATATTTAGTCATTTCTGTAATATTATTCTTTCACTCCCCTCCTTTGTAGTAAATTAAATTACAGACATTGATATGATTGTCGCCCACATAACATACCAACATTTACATTTTCAACAATATAGAGGGTTAATTACCTCTTATAGTTTTGTGACCTATAAACCCAGGCCAATGAATCATCAGTGAACCAAAATGAATACAAATCTGGAAGTGCTTTTAATTACTGCTGGAGATCTCCTAGAAGACTAAGGTGAGAACACACAATTAGACCAAAGTTTTATAGCTAATTAGGATAAGAGAGAAGCAGGTGTCCAGCCTTTTCTTTTTCTCTAGGAGTTTTATAAGTAAACAAACAAATATACAATAACTACAATTCAATACATATATAAGCTTCCTCAGTGTACAGATTATAATATCAATAATTAGGAGAATATTACAGTTGTTAAGAGAATTAGTCCAATACAACATAAAAAATGAAAAAATCAAAGGAGAGAGGAAAAAAAAACTCATGCTTAACCGCACACATCATTTTGAAATAAACAAATATTATTTTTTATTATTTTTTAATACAAACGATAATCTAAATTATAAAAGATCTGGTGTGGAAGTCAAAATATTTTTTTCCATTGAACTAGACCCCGTTTGGCTACCACATTCACAACTTAATTCAATTAAGGATTAAACCAAATATGATCAAACCCACGAAAAGGTATGCATGCGTATGTATATGTAGCTTAATAATATAGAAATGGTGGACTTTAGCTAGATTATTGATCTTAAAGTTTTGATTGATTGAAGGATTAAGCTTCCTGATGCGCCGGTCAATTCACATGCAGAGGGGCAGAGGAGAGGAAGCAGAGAGCCTCTGACCTTCACCGCATGCACATGTAACGTGTTGTCCCTTGACGCCCACATTTCTCCTTCACTTTAATCCCACACACACAACATACAAGACCACGTCCAAAGTCTCTCTCTCTCTCTCTCTCAAATTCAAATATTCATTCATGGGTTGGTAGCGATTCTTTCATTTTCACTCCATCTTTATATGATCTTTGGTGACATTTCTTTATTCTCACACTGGCCCTATATATACATTTCACCTAATTCATTGCAATGTAGAGAGAGAGAGAGAGAGAGAGCAGAAACGTTTTATATTCTCAAACGAATATATCAAAACCTCCTCGTTCCAGTTTCTGTGTTTCTGAGGTTGAGGAGTTTAACGTATGTGCCTGCTCAGGTACTTTTCATGAGTTTTAATTCTTTGCATAATTATTAGTTTCTGTCATTTGGGTTCCTTGAATTCATTGAAACCCTGTGTGATCCCATGTTTTTGTTTCTTTTTTAGTTATAAATCTATTTGTTTTCCATGGTTTTTGTAACGTTCATTCTTTGTTTGTAACTCCTTTTTCTTCTATATTATGATTATAATCGAGATAACAGAAGAAAATAGAAGTTATTGATTCTTTTCAAGTCTCCTTGGTGTTTTCCTATTGGGTTTTCGACTTTCTAGCTTTGACCTTTCGTTGGGAGTCCCTTTGTTGGGTTAGAATTGGAAGTCTCCTATATCATGCTGAATTTTCCTACTTGCAAATAGTTGAATTTGGTCTAGTTCGTATAGAATTGGGAAACCAATATTTTGAGCTGTACTCTCTCTCTCTCTCTCTCCTCTCTCCTCTCTCTCTCTCTCTCTCTCTCTCTGTTTCTGTGGATTTTATACAATTTGATGACATATGGTTAACCAGCATAGTCTCATGTAACTACAGTTGGATTATATATAAAGAAAAAGAACTGAGCCAAAGTCAAGGCCAAAATCATCTTCATAATTTGCAGGTGGGTGATTTCTAAATTCAATATACCATTCTCTATCTTCTTTTCCCTCCATATTGGTCATGATTGTGAGGAAGATTGATTGAAGTCGGCAGAGTTAAAATAGCCATTGGATTGGACAAAAAGCATAGGGCACATCGTCTTTGGACTGATCACAATGGACAAATTTTTGTCCTTCAACTCCTGATATATAAGCATTTACCAATTTTGATTTTCATTGAATTCTGTGGTTTGCAGCCATGGATATTGCAGTTGCAAAACGAAGGAGCAGTTTTTCTGGCAAATTTTTTGCAGCTGCTGTCCTCATTACCCTCTGCTTTGTCATGTTCAAGCAGTCGCTTAATTCTGGCAGCCCCAACGTGGTCTGTTTCTGATGTATAATCTTTACTTTTCTTTTTTTTTTAAACACATTAATTCTTTACATTTGACTTGGTTTTTTTCTCTTGTATGTGCAGTTTTATTACCATGAAGCCGGCGTGACGCATGTCTTGGTTACAGGAGGTGCTGGCTACATAGGTTCTCATGCTGCACTTAGGCTTTTGAAGGATTCATATCGTGTAACCATTGTGGTATCTCTCATTCACGCAATTTCAAAGCTTTTTCTATTTTCATCAATTTTCCTTTTTTACATGCATTATTGAAATTGAATGTAACTGTTTAATGTGTTTCATTGAATAAAACCCTTTTGCCTCTTTGTACAGGACAATCTCTCCCGAGGAAATATCGGCGCTGTTAGGGTTCTTCAGAAGTTATTTCCAGAACCCGGGAGACTTCAATTTATTTACGCAGACCTGGGAGATGCCAAAGCTGTATCCTAATTATGATAATTAAAAGTAGTATCACTAATTCTTATTTTCTTCTCTGATCTATTTCAATAAACAATGTGTGTTGCACATTCCTTGATTCTTGTCTTAGGTCAACAAAATCTTTTCAGAGAATGCATTTGATGCTGTCATGCATTTTGCAGCTGTTGCCTATGTTGGTGAAAGCACACTTGAGCCTCTTAGGTACATTCAATCGTTAATTTCCAGTTAATCAAAATGTTTACTCTTCTCACTGTACCTTTTAATCACATATAATCTGTGTTCTGCAGATATTATCACAACATCACATCAAACACCCTGTTGGTTTTGGAGGCAATGGCAGCACACAATGTGAAGACATTGATCTATTCTAGTACTTGTGCCACATATGGAGAACCTAAGAAGATGCCGATCACCGAAGAAACTACGCAGGTGAGAACTCATAACAGAGTTTTTGTCTGTTTTATCCAACCTCAAAATCACAATTAATTCATTATCTTAATAATATGTCATCTGCAAAGTGTAAATATTGTGTTAATACATCAAGCAATATACAATACAGAATAGTTTTCTATACACCAAACACTTAAACCCTTAGAATTTATAAATGTTCAAACACAGAATAGTTCTCTGTCAAGGTCCAAACACTTAGAATTTATAAATGTACCAACTCAGGTCCCAATCAATCCATATGGAAAAGCCAAGAAGATGGCAGAAGATATCATACTGGATTTCTCCAAAAACTCAGACATGGGGGTCATGATCTTACGGTAGGTGCTGACACAGTCAAAAACCATTTACTTTGTTTTCAAATTTTTAGTTTAACACAACATGAAGCATAAACAATTTCCCAGGTTGTATATTTTGGATCTCTAGATATAACTGAAGCTAATATACATACGGTTATGTATTCAGATACTTTAATGTGATAGGATCAGACCCTGAGGGAAAACTAGGAGAGGCTCCTCGACCTGAGCTACGTGAGCAGGGCCGAATATCTGGTGCTTGTTTTGATGCAGCTCGAGGGATTATTCCTGGACTGAAGGTACTTTTTTTCCCTCTGCTCCTCCTCTTTTTCAGCTAGACTTGTTTAGACCAAAATCAATGTGAGAAATTGAATTCCTTTATTTATGTTATTGATTCTAGGTCAGAGGAACAGACTATGAGACAGCTGATGGCACTTGTGTGAGGGACTACATTGACGTCACTGACCTGGTTGATGCTCATGTAAAAGCTCTTGCCCATGCACAACCTGGAAAGGTTGGGATCTACAATGTTGGCACTGGAAAAGGTTAGCAAATCCCTCAAATTTTGTTTTTCTCTTTTCCTTATCCTTTCTTTCCTGGCCCTGCTTCTCCTGATCTTTTGGATCATTTTTATCGCAGGTAGTTCAGTGAAGGAGTTTGTCGAGGCGTGTAAGAAGGCGACAGGGGTGGACATAAAGGTTGAATACCTCAGCCGAAGGCCAGGGGATTATGCTAAAGTTTATAGTGACCCTTCCAAGGTAAGGCAGGAGTTAAATTGGACAGCCCGCTATACACTTCAAGAGAGCTTACAGATTGCATGGAGATGGCAAAAATCCCATCTGAACGGCTATGGTCTTTCCAATGCTATGGGTTGAGAAGCTGCCAGAGATACTGTTGTGGAAGTCTGATATTGCTCCGTTGAGTTGAACATGCATTTCTTTTTACTTGGAACAGGTAGTAAAATTCCAACGGGCATTTAGGAAAATCTCTGGGTGTTCACTGAGAGAAAGTCCTGCCCTTTTGGTTCATAGTCTGTGTGCGGTTTTATTCCTATACTGTATTCAAGCCCAGAAAAAAAGAAAAAAGAAAAAGAGAGGGTCAGTTAGCTGATTTAAACAGAGGAAACATTGATACTTCACTGTATAAAATAGTCAGTTTTGAATGTTATCTGCACATAAGTATAAATGTTGAATGCTAATATTTCCTTGAAACGATCTAATTTCTTTCCTAATATTTTCCTTGGCAATATATAGTTCTCTCTTCGAAAGTAACATAAGTCATTCGTATGCAATTTGAGAAGAATTAGTAAATGAATGCTTGTACATTTACTAATCTATAAAATGCTAAAATGCAAATAGTTTAACTAGAGCGAAAAAGCAGTACCATTTATGGTGCCAGTAGGTAGGTAGTAAAGGGCTCGTCAATCATAAGGTGTCAAGAAGTAACTTGTGTTTCTCATCTCGGTGGTTAGACTCTTCAATACACTGCAAAGCTCTGCTGTTCTAGGCTGCACTGGATCTTCAAAGAGAAAAGCGTGTACTTGATTTCTGACTTCAATCCAACTGCAGCCTGGTTGCTTCTCCATGCTACTTTCTTTCATTAACACCCTGACTCTTTCAACCTCATCCCATCTGCCTGCCTCAGCATGCATGTTTGACAAGAGCACATAATTTGAAGCTTTATCAGGTTCAACTTCTAAAAGATTCTCGGAAGCATATTTGCCAAATTTTAGATTCCGGTGTATCCTGGAAGCTCCAAGCAATGCACCCCATATTCTGGCAGTTGCCTTGATCTTCATATTACTCACCATTTCAAAGGCTTCCTCTAGCCTCCCTGCACGACCAAGCAAGTCAACCATGCAAGCATAGTGTTCGGCCAGAGGTTCAATAAGGTAAACTTCCGTCATGCTCTTAAAAATTTCTAAACCCCACTCAACCAGCCCACTGTGACTGCATGCAGATAACACCCCAACAAAGGTGACCTGATCTGGATTCACCCCTTCTATTAGCATCTGTTTGAAGAGCTCTACTGCCTCTCCACCATTTCCATTTAGAGCATACCCAGATATCAAAGAGTTCCAAGAAACAATATCACCATGATTGATATCTTCAAACACAAGCTCAGCATTCGTGACCCTTCCACATTTAGCATACATCGTAATCAGGGCATTGCAGACAAACAAGTCATTTACATAACCACCCTTCACAACCAAATGGTGAAGTTGCTTTCCAACTTGTAAAGCTGCAAGATTGGCACATGCACTTAGACAACATGCAAAAGTTGATTCATCAGGCCTCTTTCCTTCCTGTCCCATCGTCACAATACTCTTCAGTGCATCCAGATATAGCCCGTTTTGCACAAAACCAGTAATCAAAGAATTCCAAGAAACTATGCTCCTCTCGCCCATCTCCTCAAAGATCTTAAGTGCTTTATCCATCTGCCCTACTTGAGCATAACCAGTAATCATAGTATTCCAAGAAACGATGTCCTTGTTAATCATTTTTCTGAAAAGAGATTGAGCTTCAACCATTTCTCCACACTGAGCATAGCCCGCAATCATTGTGTTCCAACAAACAACGTCATAGATGGCAATCTGGTTGAAGATTTGACTTGCTTCATCCATCCTTCCATTTTGTACATATCCAGACATCATTGCAGTTTGTGCTGCAATGTTCCTGTATGGCATCCGGTTAAGCAATTGCCTTGCTTCATCAAGCTTGCCAACACGGACATACCCATTGATCATTGTAGTCCATGACACAGAGTCCATCTCAGGCATATCCCTGAATATTTTGATAGCCTTGTCAATTTGGTGGTCTCGAACATACGCTGCAAGCATTGCATTCCAAGACACCGCATTTCTACTTGGCATCTGCTTAAAGAGACCCTCTGCCCTTGCAATCTTCCCATTTTGTGCAAACCCACATAACATTGTGACCCATGAAACAACATTCGGGTCGGGAATCTGCTTAAAGAACAGCCAAGCAGAATCCAAATCACCAACCTCAACAAATCCATCCAACATCAAATTCCATGAAACCACGTTCCTCTCAGGCATCTCCTCAAAAAACTTCACTCCCAGACGCATTTCCCCATTCTTGGTATACCCTGCTAGAATTGAATTCCATGAAACTAAATTTTTGACTGGCATTTCATCAAATAATCTCTTAGCATCATCAAACTTCCCCTTCTTGGCATACCCTGCGATCATAGCATTCCAACAAACTGCATCTCGCTTATCAGGAAGCAAATTGAATAGCTCTTTGGCTTTCTCAAGCTCACCGTTACGAGTATAGCAAGTAATCATTAAAGTCCATGAGTAAAGGTCTCTTTCTGGCATGTCAACAAAAAGCCTATAAGCTTCCTCAACCCTATCATTGTGCAGGTACCCCGCAATCATAGAGTTCCAAGAAACCAAGTTTCTATGAGGCATTTGATCAAACAGATGGCGTGCATTGCTAACTCTACCATTCTTAGCATAAGCAGAGATCATAGAATTGTATGTTACAGTGTTCCTCTGAGCCATTTGTGAGAAAATTTTAATTGCTTCATCGATCCGCCCTGACTTCCCCAACCGGGTAATCTTCAGATTTTGATTAAAGACTTGGCTCCCCCTTTCACCTATTGATCTGAGCTTCATTGGTCTTTGCTACTGATGACTGCGAAGTAGTCAAGACATTTCCTTTGCTAGTGTATCAGTTCAATCCGAATGAAACCTTTTTTCCAACATATCCATGACCACGGCTAGAATTTTCAATTTTTTCATTTTCCATTGCATGAATATGAGAGAAGGTGGCGGATTTTGAGATTTATCACAGCCACTGATCAAAATGAAGCTCACTTTTCAACCCAAAAAGATACAAACTCACTCGACCACAATGGTAGGAAGGGCTTCTGCATACAAGGGACCCCAAAACACTTCCACAGTAGACAATTGACCACAACGATTTGGTTGGAGGAGTTCTCGAGAGAAAAAGAGTGGTGTTTTATAGTTTAGGCAGTTGATTCTTTGTTGTCTTGCGTTTTTGAAACGTTTCGGGTGATCTTTTTGTAATGTTAACGAGTAGTAGAATGCCAATTCAAAACGTTTCCGTTTGGCTGATGATGCAAGCTGTTCACAAAACGTTTCCTTTTCAGGAAAAACCAGAAGAAGAAAAAAACCACGAACAGATCAAAATTGTAATCTTAAGAGCTACATTTTTTTTCATAAAGAAGATGATGGAGAGTCTTCCTCAACAGCAAAAAATATCCCTATCAGATCGTCTGTGGAACATAATATAACAATGATCAAAACTTTATATTTAAGGAGGCAAAGTGGTAAACCCATCAATGCCCCTATGTAATGTGGGTATATGGTGATAGCAGTATAAATAACAAGAGAGAAGTCCTTGTGCAACTATTCTTTAGACCGCCAAATACAGCCATCCGCCACATCGAGGGTGATAAGCACCCAACTGAAAATTGACCTCAACTCTACTCTTTTCTACTGCTGAAAATTGCAGGCTCATTTCAACCTTCTTCTGTATCGATGCCAATCCAAAATGCTTGGGAAGGCAGATAACTAATGCTAATCGCATTTCAGTTTAGTTAGATCATAGCTCATCGTGGCCCTCAGGTTCCGAATCAACCTTTTCCTTTGCTGAATCATCTGAGTCCCTAGCTTTCTTGTCATCTTGCGAGGAATTGTCAGAACTGGTGCTGGAATCTTGAGCTTTTTCTCTGCTGCTGTCTGTTTCATTGCTTGTGGGTTTCTCAATTTTAGGCTTTGGCTTGGGGATTCTGTTAATGTTGGCAACCTAGACAGACACACAAACGTATAGATAAAATGTTACAATCATCGAGAAGTAGCTTGTGAATTACTTTTCCATTTATTTTCTGAATCAAGAAAGAATTGCAACAATACCTCGTCTTCCAGATCAAATGCCTTCTGATAAACTTCACTAGATGTGAATGCTGGTTTGCTATATCCAGGAGTCCTTCAAGAAAGAACAAAAATAGGTCAACCAAATGGGAAGCACTGGCACACTTTAAGTTATTTAAGGAAGGAGAACAGGCTGGAAACCAGTCAGTAACCAAAATCAATTAGTAGCAAATCAACGACAGGGTGAAATTAAGGCAACACTACTACAGCTAACAGGGTGAAATTATGCACTTTTACTGCTAACTTCAGGTTTTTTTAACGGGAAGATCTCAAAAGTAACCCAAAGCAATAATTTAAATTTAAACCAATTATGCGCACTTAGATTAAAGCATCCTTTGTCTTAGCAGCAGATATCCAGCATAAATGTGCATCAGAAGATTCAGAACAAAGTAAGACTTTGGTAGTTGAGAAAAAGAACAGTACAAAATAACACAAAATACATTCGGAAAGCAAGTCATAAAACATAAAAAATCAAAGCCAGATAGCAGCAAAAGGGAAATGGGCTAATTCCCTAGGTTTCCTAAAAGGGAACCTTTTAGTTTAACCCCCATCATCGTGGATCATTTTCCCTTTACTACTCTACAGCCATACATGTGAACATCATTCTTATCTACATGTAAGATTATATGTGCATGCATAGTTGACATCAACAATACCTCAATAGAATTAAAAGAAATAAACACAGCAATGACGATAGCTTACTTTTTCTGCTCAGCCTCCTTCTCGTCCAACCAAGTCTTCAACTTGTCAGCATCACTTAAAACCTGGAAAACACACACATGAATATCCCGCACCTTAAGCGTCAGAGATCATCAAAGAGCACCAAATAAAGTTTATTACAACTAATACTATTTATAAAATCAGGAAGAGTTTGTGTTAAATTAGTTCTGATTGAAGCACCTCATTTATTCGATCTTTCGGAATCCAGGGTTTGTTCAACTCCCAGCCACGTACAATCTGCAAGGATGAGGAGGGAAAAGACCAATTTATGTCTCATAGATAGTGTAATGGTGTGAACTGTATTGTACCAACAGGTCTATGAATCTTGAATGGGTGATGGACCTAATGGCAATTGCATCTTTCACACATAAAATTTAGGTCGTTTTTCAAGACAATGCAGACAGGGAAAGAAAAACTTATATGCACGCCAAAAGAGGTGTACATTTCTTGCCCTTGCAAACGAAAGAAATTTAAAATATATATATATATATATATTTTGTCTGCTGTATTAGTGGTTCTATTTATTTGTTTAGTAATGAAATTACCAAATGGAATTTCTACCATGTGATATACCATCTAATTCATATGATTCTTCTTTTCCCACAAGGTACATATACAGGTATAGGTAATAGGTATACATAATAAGTGTGTCTGAATTTACCTGTTGCAGCTCAACAAGGTACTTACGAGCGTATTCCACTGCTTCTGGCCGTGCAGTAAGCTCTTTGAATCTGCATCCAAGAATTCATCAGATCAGATACATTGTATTGACTTGGCAAAAGCTTTAACCTTTAAAAATTCATACACCTAGAATTATATATTACCCAGTTCAGTTAAAAACTAAACAAACCAAATAGGAATATACCTGAAGAATATTGGATCACCAGTAGTTTTTAGCAAATCTAGGCGTTCCTGAAACTCAGTAGCGGTAGCATCTTCACCATCCGTGTAGAGCCATTCTTGTACCTAAGAAAAATATAGCACGTTTAAATAACTTAAGTCAGATATATTTTATCAAGACGAACTTTGGTTTGCAAGAAAGAAATATGTACCTCGTCAAGCTTTCCAATAAAGGATTGGCGTTCCTCGCTAGTTGAAATCTTTTCAAATTCCTCGGATGTTTCAAGCTGGTAAAAGAAAGTTTTCGTTAAAAGATTGAAACAAGAACATATTGTTATAACCTAAAACTATTTTACTATTTATATAGGAACAAACTAGCAATAGAACAAAATACTTTTGCCTATCAAACCAAAAAACACAAGGAAATACAACATTAGATGCTTGTCGCAGACATATCAACAAATAGTTGAAGGCAATCATTTCCATGAGAAAAAAATACTTTAGCAACATAGGTGAAAAAATAATAAAAAACACAATTGCAAGGGCATAGTGTCCAATTAAGAACATTGGTGAAGTCCTCTTACATATCCAATCAAGCTATAACTTGGTAACATATATTGATAGAAATGAGAGAAATTCTGGTGGGTTGAACTACAAAGGGAAAACCAGAAACATTTGGAAACATTGTACGTATTCATAAGAAATGGAAATATGCAACATACTGTTCATTCAAGATTGGTTTTCTTAAGCTGAGAAGAAGGAAAAAAAAGTTGATTGAACCTTCCCACCTTTTCTTTAGTAGCGTATATGTATCCTTCCAAGTTATTCTTCAACTCTGCAGTTCTCCTCCGCTCTGTATCCTTCTTGTCTAATTCTTCTAACTTACGTTTTGCTTCAGCAAGAGATTCTTTTGAAGGAGACATTGCGGGTCCAACTGTTTTCTCAACAATCTACAATAGATAAAACTATTTTAGTGAAAAGACAAGGTTCTAATGAGCTGTTAGAAGAACAAAAGAATCTTAAGGCAATTAGCTCATTTATACCTTCAGTGGAATCCTAAAGGTCCGCTTTTTCAGCTTTCTTTCAATACCAAGATCCGCGGTACCTTGTCCTTCTATAGTAGAGTTGTTAGTGTTACTATTTCCACCATCTTCAGTATTGTCATTGCTTTCTTCTGAAGAGTTCTTCGCACCAGTTTCAGTTGATACATTGGGGGCAACATTAGTGGAATTCTCCACAGTTAGATTCTTCTTAGGAACTTCTACCCATTCTGTTACTTCAATAACAGCATCTGCACGATCCAGTGACAAAACACCACTTCTACTCAAAGAGAAATGCAGACTTGCTTTAATGGGGGAAGACAAATTCCGTGACGCATACCTAAATAAGATAGAGAAGACAAATATAAAATGATGTCAGTATTCGTCTCGTGCTCTGCATGGACATACAGCTAGCACGTCTTTAAGACATTGCAGCATAAATCATCCAGAAAGGATCTGGAAATGCAAATCCTTACTTTTCACTTGTATCTGTCAAACTGGACACAGAGTACTGAGCAAATATAGGAGAGGTGACACCGGGGGGTAAAGTATCTTCACTTTCATACGCTAGAGAAACTTCAAAATCTTTGCTCTGGGTAAAGGATCTGAACATCTATTTTTATAACAAACCAACAATAAGGAGTGAAATTAGCAGAAATACTAATTAAATGAAACCCTTTACTAAACTTTTGCTATTTCCTGCCATGGTATTTACCTTGCTGGGGAGTTTCTTCATTCGTTGTACAAGTAACTGCCTAGTGCTATCTTCTTTCAGAAGATCAGGGCCATCTAACTCAAGCACAAACCCATAGGAAGAACCATCAATCATCCCTAACTTACGGTTCAGTTTGATTCCATCACTTAAATTAGCAGCATGTAATGCTGCACCAAGAACTATAGCTTCATCAGCATCCAGATGTCTATCCAACTCTTTCCTTCCAAGATATTCCTGAAGCTTAGCCTGTCATGAAGAAAATAGAGAATTTTTTTCATGATCACTCTTTTAACAACTCAATATGACGATTTGATGCAATACAACAACATTAATATCAAAGTGATGTACGACAGCACCATTGAGCAAATAATTTGTGATTATTAACATTCGATACTAGGTTTGTCATTACTGGTTAGTCTAGGTTTTACTTGGGGATGGAACAATGGGCTGAAGCTAAAACCAAGTGAATCCGAGACTACTCTCTGTCTCCTACTCATTCCATCATGGAATACAGCATACTATACAAGAATATTTTCTGCCTCATATAGATGCAAAAGGAATAATATAGGTCAAACCTGCAACTTTGGCACTCTGGTAGCTCCTCCTATCAGTTCCACTGCATATATCTCATCTAACTTTAAACCAGAATGCTTAAGAACTTCTTTAAGAGGTAAAAGTGACTTCTCCCACAGATCTTCACATAGCTCTTCAAACTTTTCACGAGTTATCGTGCTCCTGAAAAGAAATAAATCTCATGTAAGTATGTAAATAATGTTCGGTATATTACCTTGGACAACTACCTAACACAAAATTATAAAAATTATAAAAAGCACTTTAAATTCCATCAACCTGAAGTCTCGATCATCATAAAGGGATTCAACAGATATTGGAGCCATTGTGTTTGCACTTAGAATTTCCTTGGTACGTTTGACCTGTTTCTTCAACTTAGCCATTGCTTTTGGAGACTTTCTGACATCAACCCCATTCCCCAATTGTTTATTGAACTCATCAGCAAAATACTCCACCAACCGTAATTCCAAATTCTGACCCCCAAGTTCTGGGTTCCATCTGACATCCTTGACCTGGGAAAATGTGACAAGTTATGCAGGAAGCTTACAGTGAGGCGAAATCTAAGACACTGGTGAGTGGCACTAAAAAAAATATGGAGAACGAGGAGACAACTGATTAAACATTTATCTAAAGTTTAATCCAACCATATGTACAAATTATACCAGAAAATAAAACTTTAAGAAAATTAGCCGAGATAATTGCAAATCAAAATGAGAACTGAAGTAAGTTATGCCTTGCCTTCTTTTGGTAACAGGAACATGGAAGGAGGAACTTCACATTGGTGGATTATTTTTACTGTCAAGGTTTCTTGTTTTTCCTTTATTGATGGACAGAGGAACTTTAACAAAATAATTCGAATTGGATTGAAATTTACCTGAAATTGGTTGACTGATACAGTCTTCCCAAACTCCTTGGCATTATAAGCCGAGAAATAAACGAGTGCAGCATAGGTACTGCTGGTGCCCATATCATAGAAAACTACATGCCTCGACTCATTTGAGAAATCCTTATCAATCCCATACTGCAATGCCGCACCAGAATGCTCATTTATCAAAGAAAGAACATTAATCCCTGCCAACTGTGCCGCCCGGAATAACCCCTTTCGCTCTGCTTGCCCAAAGTACGGAGGAACTGAAATTACAGCATCCTTTACAGGTACTTTCGAATGAAACTCCGCTAAGTTTGCAGCATAACCCAAAATCATGGCCACTAGTTCCTCAACCGAATAAGTACTCACTCTATCATCAATTTTGAAAGTGGCAGTGCCCCTAGAATCTTCTGTAATGTCGAATGGTAAGTACAATGAATCTAAAAGACTGTTGCTGTAATTGAAGGGTTTTCCAATCAAGTCCCTTGTTTGAGAATAGACTTTCTCCGGGTATCGAGCAACCAATCCAGCAGCTTCCTCGCCCAGTAGGCGGTCACCGGAATGAAATGCAACCAAGTTTGGAGATTTTCTCTTGGACATCTCGTTGATAGCAACTGTGATAGGACTCTGCCCGCGTTTAAGGTTCACAACCGCAACTTTCACCCATTCGGAGCCTAGATCTATGCTCATCACCGCGGATTGAGAAGGAGAAAATACAAGGCAAAGCACCGATAGGAATAACCCTAGCTTGAATAAGATCGACGCCATCCTAGATTGCATTAGTAACCCTAGGACTTCAAACTTCGTCTGAACAACACAACAATAAAAATTGATGAATAATTCGAAAAAAAACTCCTTTCTAAACTTGCGACTGAGAAAATAAATACAAAACAATTACTTCCATTTTCAGTTTTGATGATGTTTGGGCATAAAAACAATGAAACACAGGGGCCTACTAAGCTCAACTATTGCGCACGTACAGATTTCATTTCAAAATCAATTTCGATGAAAAAGGAAACATACAAAATAAGCTTCAGCCCTACTTCGCTCTACACTATGTTTTCATTTTCTCAGAAACCAAACAGAGCAATTGAAATTTGAACATTTCACGTCGAGATGAACACAGGAGAAAATGGGAAAAAAATTACTCGAGCTAAGTAAACGAGAAAAATAAATGTGAAGAGATAACCAGATAGAGAGAGAGAGAGAGAGAGAGAGAGTGACCAGTAATGTGCAGATCGCATTCTCCAGAAGACTGCAGAAACGGTTCTTGTTTGGTTGACGAGAATCGTAGAAAGAAAGTGAAGGGAAGAACTTTCTCAGTGATGCTGGAAGTTTGCAGGGACCTTATATACGGAAAGATACAGAAGGAAAGCCTATGTGGAAAATGAGGAGAATGATTGGCCAATGGTAAAACAACACGTGGCGTAATTTACAGGTGGCGGCCAGTAAGACGATCGGTGGTGTTGTGCAACGGCTCTCATAGATCTTTGTTACGTGACGCGGTGTTGGCAATGGCTAAAGGAAAATACTTTTTTATTCGAAATTCATATCAATATTCACTAATGGACCACCTCCTCAATGTGTTGACCATATGATAAAACTCAAAATAACAAGGGAGCTTCATTAATATATCCAAAATAGGGGCTGAAATTATAAAAAAAACTCCACATGGAATGCACTTTAGAAACACACCCAAAACTCATTTACTACATAAGAAATTAGTGTTTAAGTTCTTATAAATTACATAACTGTCATTGATCAACTTAAAAAAGAATACCAACACAAAAAACTTAAATAACACACAAAACAAGTCCAGCTCAATTTTATAAAAAAACCCAAAAACCATTTATCATCTAAAAACCATTTATAGTTTCATGTCTAGAAATGGGTGTTTCACTAATTTTGTAAAATAACAAATCATGCTAAAATATGCAATTTCTTTACCAAATTAAATTTTCTTTTTAAAGAGTATAGTCGTACGACTATACTATTTATATATTTTAAAAAAGGACGAGCCCAACACATAGGTGCCACGTGTCAAAACGGTAATGCCGGCCGGCTATACTAGTATAGCCGGGCGGCTATACTCTATGTATACCCAGCTTATGGGCCACATGTCAGGTACAGCCGGGCGGCTGTATTATTTTTAATTAAAAATTTTGAAAAACGAGTTTAGCCGACCGACGATACTATTTTTTAAAAACAATTAGGTAAAAACTGAGATTTTTAAAAATATATATTATTTTTATTCAATAATATGTGAGAATTATGTGTATAATACGTGAATTTTGTGTCTTATTGAAATTTTGTAAAAAATACGTGTATTAAACATGAGAAATACTTGTGTACGTGTATAATACATTATTAAATGTGAAAGTGCTAAAATCTTTATACGAGTAATAACTTTGGAAAAGTAAAACATCAAAAAGGGACAATAGATGCTCGAATAATAGCCTAATAGTAACGGATATGGCTCTTGGGCTATGGAAAATTTTAATTAAAACACCCAAACAATTTCGCGTTCAGTAATTTAAAAGTACTAAAGAATTCGTAAACATACGGTGTAGCTCTGCAGATGCTATTAGTTTGAGTAGAAATTTACATATCCCATCTCTGATGTTCTAGCTGCTAATTCTATTAGTTTGAGTAAAAACTGGGCAAAAACTAGTTTCATCTTATTATTTTTGTCGTCGGGCTTCGGCCCAATCTCACCAAAAATAAAACTGAAAATTTTCACTTAATTTTTTGTCGTTGGCAATATAAGTACCTCTTCCTTCTGGAACTCAAAGATGTAGCACATTGAAACAATTAAGAAGCAATACCTTGCAAATTAAATAGGAACCTAATTTCCGCGTGGCTCGTGCTCTTTATACAAGAATCCGGTGGTAACAATGTCGTGGAAAAGCTAGGGGATCCTTTGTAACTTTTATATACAGATATCTAAATTCTAATTTTGGGCATACAGAGATAAACTTTGAAAGAAATATCTGGAATTCGTGTTAATTTACACCAAGTTACAATGCCCATGACCATAGTATACTTGCTAATATATAACTTGTATATATCCGAAACTGATGACCATTTGAAATAACCCTAGATCTAGAACAGCCAATGCTTCTTTCTGGGATTTCTTGTCGGAACATCTGTACACATATTAGTAAAAGAATCAGAAGATTATATCTCTAAACGGCACCGAGACCAAAGTGTCAAGAAGAAAGAAAAAAATGTTGCAAATGAGGAGGACAAGTAAATAATGGTTTAGTTCACCACCTGCACTTGCATACAATGAGTTATAATGCACTTCACTCCAAAAGCTCAGCCAAACCTCTGAAACAAAAACAAGAGGGACCTCATTGAGTTTATCATGCAAAGCTTCAACAGAAACTGACATCAAGTTCTGCATCAGGTCCAATCCAAATTTGTAGTTCCATGCAAAAATTGACATTATATTACCATCAAACATGTTGAAAAGCCCAACTTGACTGTTACGCATTTTCTTTCAAGTTTCATAAAGCAAACCATAATTAAATTTAGATAAGATAAAGTAAGCAAATGAGATATACCTCGGGTAGGATTCCTGTCTTTAGGAAGGATCTCAATATAGCATGCATCTCGAAAAGAGGTGATTACACAAATTTTGGCTCCAAACTACAGAAGAATCTGTAACTGTTAGAAAGCAACCACTGCGGGACTCAGCAATATAAATAAAGTGGGAAAGAAAAGAAAACAAAGGAATAAACAGAGAAACCAAAAGATTTAACAGATACAAAGAAACAATGTTTTTAAGTTCTTTACTTCAATCTCACAAAAACTGCATTTTACCACTATCAAATCACAACCACATACGAAAGAGTAGCTTCTAATTACAATTTATCGACTCCGGTCATGATTCTGCAGGTGGTACTATATTTAACTCTAGAAAATGGAAAAGGAAGAAGTTCTTTGCAAACCTATATATGAAATCTCACAAGACAAGGTGCAAGAGCAGAATAGATCATAAGTGAGGTTCTAGAGACCAAGTTTTCTATGTAAGTGGTGTTTAATTGTTTCCCATCTATTACTTCTTTTTTTATCGAATTTCCCATCTATTACTTGATTATAAGTGGGCACCGATGTCGCTACATCATCCATAAGATGAACTACTAAACCATACCTTGACATGATAATGGTGAGGCAAAGAAGAAAGCAAGTATTTTCACTTAGTGACCTCAAAAGCACCAGGTGTAAAAGGAGAGGATTTGAACTTACTCGATCTGCAGCTGCCTGAAGGGTAAGATGATCTCCCCACTCCCCGGCTCTAGTTCCATTTAGTATTTTGTACAAAATTAAATTAACTTTTAGTAACAGTTAGATACATGACATCATATCTTAAATTTTGCAGTAAAAAATCAATAGGCATGAAAGCAGAAATCTAACTTCTTCATCTTCTTCAAGTAGTGTCTGTACTTCATCGGGACATAAGCTTCATAGAGTTTTCTGTGATGCTTTAGCTGAAACATAAAACATTTTTAAATAAATAATAAGAAATACCTAATCTAAAGAAAATATGAAACCAGAATTAAGCTCCACAGATTTCATATACAGTGAGGTAATAAGATTTGCATATCCAATACCACTGATAGATGAAAATAACTGCTAAAGAATACAATCTTCTAATCCATCAAGCCTACAATAACTAAACTGAGGTAAACAAGTTCCTATCAGGAGAGGGGGAGGGGGGAACTAAAATAAGGAAAATGAATGCATTGGAGGAGCTTTATCAGCCATACCTGCTTTACCACCTGTTTTCGTACATGCTTGTGGTAATCTGGATTGCGAAACAACTGATCTGCTAATGCTCGAAACTGCAGCATGTTAAACAAATATTTTATCAATCATAACGCAGCAACCCCCTGACTCAAACAAAAAAAAAAAAAAAAAAAAAAAAAAAAAAACATAAAGAAAAAAGAAGTATGAAGGCAAACTTAAGTTTACGTCGACTTTAAACCAAGTAAACAAATAAAATGAAATGATAACAACATACATGTGGTACGCGTTTGCATTTCAATCTATATAGTGAAAGAAGAATGTAATGAAAATAATTGAAAAAAACAATAGGCTGATAAATCATTCATTGTAGCCAAACCTGGCAATTTCCATCACCCTCAATCTGCAGTTCAGATAAATCATATGTAGCCAACCTGAATCAATCAAAAAGAAAATATTACAACCAAGATGATTCTTCCTGCTATCATTTCATCCATTTACAAACCCAAGTACACAGCATACGTTTTGGTGACAACTACAATTTCGCGTCTTACATGATATGGGCAGACTAGAATGTAATTTTTTTTCTATTTGATTTATGATTGTATTTGTTCTTTCAGATAGATCTTGCAATTTTTTTTTCTGTCAATGAATAACTTATCCAGCCCTGAGATATAATTTGAATCGACGATTCATGAGTCATCCGATTACCATCTCTCATTAGTTCACTGACATATAGCAAATAGGATACCGGAATATTATTGTATGAGTAATTCATGAAAGAAATCCTTTCTTTTTTTCTTAAAGTTAGCTTTGAAAAAATAAAAGTTGCAATATAAGCCATGATCAAATTACACTTTCTAATCCAAGCCCTACTATACGCCCTGAATAAAGGAAAGCTCGGGAAACTTGAAAAGTAGCAAGGTTGCAACAAAACAATCAAGAAGAAAGCGTGTAGAGAGCTCATTTCACAAAGTACAACCTTTCCAACAGCCGCTCATGGTCTTGGGTAGCATCATTCACATCAGGTATTATCTCCCCATTAACCCGAGGAGTGTGCTGCAAACACAGTGAACCACGTATAAATCCAGTCAATACCCAGAAGCTACCCAATTTTCAGTCAAGCGAACAACAAGGTTATCTCATCGATTTATGCACTATTCAAGGCAGTAGGTGGAAAGAATATAATTTTATTTTAAGATAAAGGAGTAAGTAACGCATCTGGTAAAACGGAGCAAGAATCGATGAAGTGATATCTTAATGTAGTAAGCAAAATGTCTCCTCATTTCCAACACAACTACCAATCAATTGTGTATGAGAGGGGTAGGTGGTTCTCAAAAGCCAAGCATCTATGGTGCAATAAGATTTCATATCCCATACTACAAGCACTACACCAGCACAAACTTATGTCTAAAGGCATATATAGGCGAAACCTCCAGCTCCCCTTCCTCTAGGTAGGTAGATGACTGAGTGAAATAAGAAAAATAAAATAAAAAAATGTGAAACTTCAAGATCAACCCAATGATCTTGGAGTGTAAAAGGGCTAGTTAACACATCACTATTTTGTAGATGCACCATTTTCTTGCGTAAAAACATACTATGGCCATTCACTGAAATTTTCTTATTGCGTTAGATAACTTAGATGTGTTACGGTGACCCAAGGCCAGCTAGTAGTAATGACACTTCAGTTTCAAACTTCGAGATATACTCTGCAACAAACCAACCACCTCTTTTTGGACTAGCTTATTCTTTGCTTCATCAAAATCACACATTAGCTGTTTCCGCTCATAACAACCAATAGAGAAAAGTCAATCATGGGCTTATTTTTTAGATACAACAAATAAATACACATGTTCACACCAGACAAACATCTGCACCTATATATACATACATACAAGGTGCATTAAGGCGGAAGAATTTTACAATCGTTTAGTCAGGGAAGACAAAACATAGTAGATATAATGACTAGTGAGGAACATACCGGAATGGAATCTAAGTGGGAGAGCCTTTTCCCCAATCTGTGATCAATTTTGAGCTTTTCGTCTTCAGCCAACATAGTTGCAATTGCTTGGTCATCCTCTGCGTCATGGGAGCTGCTATTTAAACTCGAGCTTGAACTCGCACTTGCATTGCTGTAGCTTCCGTTCATACTATATCAAGTAAACGGATAGCAAACTCACCCCTGTAGAACATGCCAAACTATTATAGTTAAATGAACTAACTCATTAGAATAATCCAAAAATGATCCCTTCTTCTAAACAGAATAACCCGTATGAGAGGTTGATCCTAACTGGAGCTTGGACCCACAAAAATTTCAGAATAATGTATGGTTATATGAGATGTCATTTTTCTCCCTTCACTTATCTTCTGTTTGGTTGCTGAGAAAACATAGGAAAAGGAATGAAACGAAAAGTCTGCATCTTGATTTTCCTTTCATCAAATCCTTGAAAGGACAAAGCTTACTGGAATTGAATTAGTCAACAAATTCAGATATTTCTCCGTACTAATACAAAACACAGTGATTGATGACATAATCTGATTATCTATCTCAATTCACCTTCTCAGCAGCCAAACGGCACATAAAGTAAGAAGGAAAGCAATTTAATAGCAGCAACACTAATGAACTAAATTTAAAAAAGGAATACAAGTAATTGAAAAGTACAAATTTTTATTGAAATATGCTTAATGGTAAAGAGAGCGAATAAGAACCTGCAGCTAAGCTTAGTTGCGGAGAAAATACTCTATCTCTCTCTTGTTCAAGCTTGTACCTCTCAGCTGAGCTTTACAAGATCAAATGACTTTGTTCAGCTGTACTGCAATCCACAGAAGCAAATCAACAAACAGGGAAGATCCAAAATTTTAGCTTTCTCTTGTCCTCTTTTCTCAGCAACCAAACAGCAGATTGGATGAACTACAAGATATACAACTGAATATAATAAGGCTCAAATGAAAAGAATATATATATATATATATATAATAAGAAAATGAAAAACAACCTAGGTCTAGGTGTGTAATGTGGAGAAAAGAGCAAACGAGATCACAGCTGGACAGCCAGCAAGGAAATATATCTTTTTTGGGGAAGTATCAAATTTCACTCTTCAATTTTTGACTGGGCTCATCCAAAATTTATTAGGAACGCGGAACTGTGCAACTTTGACAAGTTGATACTCCAAGGAAGAGAAGGGTCAGAGAAAAAAATAATAATAATAACTAAAAGACCGGGAAGGAAAGAGTGGGATGGGATTCTTTGATAAAACCCCATTCTGTCATTTTCGACTAGAAACCAACACGAAAAGAAAACAAGTACAACATCGGACGGCTTCTATAAACCGTGTGAATCATTACTTGGAATGTCTTTTTTAAATAAATAAAAATTGGGTTAATTTCAGTTTAGTTTCCTAAATTCTCGCGGCATGTTTGTTCCTGCACTCTCAATTTTAACAATTATGTACCCTAATATTCTTAAGTTTCTGCAATAAAGTTCCGGCCATCAAAATTTTCGTTCATTGCCTAAGTGACAAAACTAGGTCTCACTTATTCGCTTATTTCAATGTCAATTAAAAGGTATTTTCAAACCATTGGTGTCTTCCCGCCCAAACTTGGAGAAAATGTGTCATAGTTTTTTAACAAAAGTACTTGCGAAAGACACCAATTGCCCGAAAATACCCTTCAATTGATATCGAAACGACACATATGCCTTAAGAGTACATAATTGTTAAAATTGAGTGCATAACCACAAATATACCTTAAGAGTAAGAGTTTGAAATTAACCCAAAAACATTTATATAGATTACTTGTAACGACAAATATGCATTAATTGAGGCTTTGCCAACCAAAGTTCGTCAAATATCAATCTAAAAAAAGTCTTTAAGTATAAACTATGCCCTTTCTTCAATCAAATCAGTTTAAAAACATAATTAAAATCTAAGGTTTGATTTTTTTAAACATGTACTGTACCGTATTTTTTAGAAGTAAAAGAAAAATAGAAATATTTTTACTTATATAATACAAGTATTATACGTGAATTTCTAACTAGGTTCTCAATAAGTCCTATGTTGTGTATTTTTTTTCTTTTTCGGACTGTCGACTAAGATAAAATAGTACTCATGTAATTAATTAAGAAGTTCTAGGAGTCAACAACCAAGATTTCATACCTAAAATTGTTTAAGTTCACACCTATCGTATTCTTGTTCCAAATGAACAACTTGCCGACTTGTAAGTTGTATTAGCATACGACACTCAAAACAATTAACTAATTTTAGATAGTTTATCTATTTGAAAAGGATATGAACCAGGAGTAGGTGAGCTGGTACAAGTCAGTTTAGTACATTTATAAATTATATAAACCAATTCTTAATCAATTCTTTATGTTTGGATTAGTCACGGATATCTTTAGGTTTTCTGTGTAGATTTCTCCTCTCTTTTTGTGAGAGCTTTTCACTTCTTCTTTGTGAGAGTTTTATTTGTATTGTTATGCTTGGTTTTTTTTCAAGCCTTATCTCTTTTTGATTATTCTGAATTTGCAATATTAGTTGGGATATCTATGTCAGAATTTCTTCGATCGTGCGTGATCGTTAGTGGATGCGCACTAAATTGTCTTAATTTTGATGTCAAACTGCTCCGTTATTGTAATAGCCCTTTGTAGTTGACTTTTTGACTGAATTATGAATGCAATCCTATAATTCCCCAACAACAACAACAACAACAACAACAAAATCAATGTGTTATGAAGGAATTCCACTACTAAGTATTGATTTATACTCTCTCTTTACAAATTAAAATACATAATTAACAAAATATAATAAGCTATAAATCATAATCATGAACACCATTAGAGGAAAACCCTAGTGTTAATATCTTAAGCTGATCATCAATGAAGGCAGAGAGATTAGCCACAACTCTCAAATTAGCCTCATCTCCCATGGTCCTTTCATTTAGCTTCCTCAACCTGTTGCTCATCTCAGCATCCTCCACCACCTTTTTCAATCCTTCCTCCACATCCTTTTGCCCAAACCCAATTAATTTCACCCCAATTCTCCAAACTTTGACAATGTAGGCACAATTTACAAATTGGTCCCCAGCCACTGGATAGCACAAGAGCGGTTTTTGGCACTGGATGGCCTCCATTGTTGAGTTCCAGCCACAATGTGTGAGATAAAACCCTACAGCTTTGTGTTGCAGGACCTGCATTTGTGGGGCCCATGAAACAACTTTGCCTTGCCTTGACACTCTCTCTAAGTACCCATTTGGTAGCCCTCCAAGCCATGAAGACCCAAGAACCCAAAGGAATGGCTTCCCCAAAGCTTCAAGTGCCAATGCCAAGCTTCTCACCTTAGCCTCTCCAATGGGGCTTACCCAACTTCCAAAAGAGATGTAAGTTACACTGTTAGGGTTTTGCTTGTCTAGCCAAGTTAAGCAGCTTGTGTCTTCTTCCCAAAAGCTAGGGTTCTTGATTGTTGTGTGCTTGCTCAGAGGACCAATTGGGAAAACCAGTGGTTGTTGGGCTTGAGTGTTCATCTTGACCAATTGATGATGATCAAGTTGTTGTTCACCATTGGTGCAATATTCATTTGGAAAAGAATTTACAAGGAGCCATGGAAGAGTTTTTGATCGATCCAAGGTTCTTTTCCAAAATTTGAATCTTGCTTTTCTTGAAGCTGGGGTGCCAATCAACCAGGGAAGATCTTCACTTGAGAGCATAGGTTGATTAGGTAAGCATATACCACCAAGTTGCTTTGGAAATCCTGCAAATATAGTAATATCACATTAGTCCGTTATAACATTTACTGAACACGTTACTTTATGGTCCAACTCGTATGTATAAATGGATGTGATTACTAAGGCATACGTGAATATGACTTCTAATCTAATCATACTAATTAACAATTCACATATGTGATTCTGTTAATCAAAGTCATGATTTTGTTAGCCTTTATACTAATCAAGTTTAATTAACAATAACAAAGTTAATTAGCTTCGTTTAATGTATGGCACGTGCCTGGTTACTTAACACTACAATAATATGTCATGCCCAACCAAGTAATGAAGTTTTCATGCCTGGATCAGTAATGTATTCAAGTCCCATCCCCTTCTCATGTGAACTTCTATTGACAAATTGATATTTTTTTGTTCACCGCAGTCAACCAAACTACAATACTAGAACTCATGAGACATTTTCTGCTATAAAAAATATGATATAGTGGAAATTTTATATACCAAACTCACAATATATAAAATATTAAGTCTAACAAATTTTTATCATCAATAATTTACAGCTTTAATTACAACATTATGGGAAGACTAGGTATCATTTTGGTCCTCAACATCACTTGTCCAAAACTTGCTTACTTCAATATATTATATAGTTAATATATATAATATATTTATATTTATATGGCATGTATGTTTAATTCAAGCATACCCCGGCCTATTTCTATTCAGCATAATACTAAATTTGATTAAATAATTATAAAATGTAATTAATAAATGTGATATAAATAGTTTCATTTATAATAAAATTATGTGTATTAATTATTGACAAAACATAATCATGTGACACAAATAAAAATATTATTTTTCTTAGGAAAATGCAAAACTTGAAGACATTGATCAAAGACATCAAAAGGGGATGGAGATGTGGGTTATGACAGTTAATTAGGGTCATGCGCCAGCCACCCCCGTTTTCCTTAAATTAGAATTGTTTAAACTATTGCTTCTATTATAAAAAATAAAAAAAAATTAATTAAAAAAAACACCAAAGCACCAAAGATGAGAAACTAAAAAGGCAAATGATCACTCAAGAGATATCATACACACTAAATATAAATATATCAGCAAAAACTAACCTGTATCAGAAATGAGACCTGTCCTCACCATATCTGGTATGGCAGTGATCAAGCGATATGTGGCAAGCATCGCAGGCCAAAACCCAGCAGAGGCTACCCCACAGCGATTGGCTACATCTATGGCCCACGAAGCCAACAAATCGGCAACTATACACACCACTTGATCACCATCCTGATGATCAAGTTGATTAACAAGGCTCTCCAGATGGCCTGGCATGGTGTTCTCCATGGCCTTCTCAATGGCAAAGAAGTCCCTTGGGGCGTCCTTGTCCAGTCCATCTGGGATTGGAATGCACAAAATCTTGTCGTTTTGTTCAACCTTTGAGACTATCTGGTTGTGAATGTGGTCTGGTGTGACCAGCACTGGCTTGAAGCCATGGTTGAGGAAGGCTGAGGCTAATTTAAGCATGGGAGTGACATGTCCTTGTGCTGGATAGGGAACCAAGATGATGATGGAATTGGACCTCTTTATGCACTTCATGTTTCCCATCTCTCTCTCTCTCTCTCTCTCTCTCTCTCTCTTAAATGTTATATCTCAGAGTCTAAACCAAGGCAATATTTATAGAGAGGGGAGATAGGGGAGGATGAGTCAACTAGGCATGTGCTTCATGATGTGTACAGTTATAATTTATAAGCCTACCTCATGTTCACTCCTTTTGGAACAAAGAAAATTAGTACAATTAAATATACTTTAAAGGGACCTAAATTTACTTTAAATATAATAGACCTTTCTCTCCTTTAAATTAAGTTAATTATAAATTGTAAAAAATGTTTAATTAAGTTTTTTTTTTTAAATGTACACTTTAGTAGGATCGAAGTCATGCTTTCACTAAAATAAATTATGCATATTGATCACTAACTACCTCCTACAAACATACATTTGACAAGAAAGCTAAAATAATAACTTATAAGAAGCCTAAGTTCAAATTAACATTTAAATGTAAATTTTTTTTTAAAAGAGAAGATATAATGAGTCGTCTTTCTATAAACTTTAGCTGCATTTGGTTCATGGAAAATGGGATTTGGAATTATTTCTCATGTTTGGTAAGTCCAGGCAGAAAATTAATGGCTGCCTAGCACATAGAAAAATAGGGGAGAAAATGAAACACTTCATCCCCCTTGGATTTCATTTTCCCGGAAACTAGGGCATCATTAAATATATTTTTTTCATGACCATTTTATCCACATTAACAATTTTAGATTTACAATATAGCATTAAATGCATTATTTTTTATTTTTCACTTCATATTTTTAACATATATATATATATATGGAAAATTAAACAAATTTTGTTTTACATTCCTACACAAACAAAACATGGGAAAGAAAATAAAGTGGTATTTTCCTGACTACTTTCCCAGCATTGCCAAATATGGGAAATGAAATTTCCTTCTCATTTACAATTAACCTCTTCTGGGATCTTTTTTGAGTGAATACATTTCTATGAAAAAATAAAATATCTTGTAGAAGAAGTCTTTGCTAATGATTTTCCGGCCTCCATCTTATGGTTCTTCAAGGATCCTTTTATGCATTATGTCCTTTGGGAAATGATTTCCATCAAATTTTATTCATGAACCAAACGAAGCCTAAATATATTGGAAAGGCAAGAAACTCGTTCAAATATAAAAACAAATTGTGGTTTTTTTTTTCTAATTAAAAAGTATCTAATTGCAATTTTAAAAACAAAGCCTGCTTTCAAAATTAAAATCCTAATGAAATACCAAGTCGCAGTTAAGTCTTCTTTGTTCATCTGTTGTATTGCTTTATCATTTCTACTTTTAGTTAGGTGGATGTGAACTCCTCTTAAGCATGCATTCATTGTCCAATGGAGCTCAAGTTAGGCCTAGGACCATCCACAACACAACCATATATATTTTGATTTTGTCATGGTAGTGTTTTTCAACACGTGTAAATTTCGATAAACACCACACCCTTTAAGTTTTAACTACTACATCCATCAATGATATGCTACTTTCACCTTTTCCTTTTGTCTTCTGTGGGATTTATGGATAATGTTAAATGTTTATAGAAAGATAAAATAATATTTTGTTCCTTAAATTTATTTATTTATTTTTTGAAAATAAGTGATAGTATTATTTATAAACAAACAAAAGTACAAAGCAATTATATATGCACCGAATATGGATAAACTTTTCTAGTGACCAAACACAATAACATGTTAAATTGACATTGAGAGAATCACAGACAACTCAAACAATAATTATAAAAAAATATCTTTTAGAACCATTGATTTTGGAAAATCTTTTGACCACTTTTTGTACTCAAAACTGGAAGCTGCGGCAAACAAGCTCGCCGACTTGAATGATGGAAAGTGAAGTGTAAAAGAAACTCATGGAACTCAAGCAAAACGCCAACTTTTAGTGTGCCATATACAACTCCATGTGGAACGCCAGCGTGCTTCTCAATGAAAGTATAACGTAATTTCTGTTAGACCAACTCCACCGTTGCGCCCGGGCTGGAGCAAGGGGAGGCCCAAGACAAAAAATGGCGTTCCAGCGGGCCCCTTTTGTCCGGGCTGGGTGTGGGGCCTACAAACCTAGGCTGGCCCTCAGGCAAAACCAGCCTTTGCACAAGCCTGGGTTTGCTGACATCAGTGATGACGTCAGCAACCCAAAAAATTTAAATTTTTTTAAAAAAATACTAGATTTTTCAGATTTCTTTTAAATAAATATTTAATCATATTTTTCACTTTCCACATCAAAACTCTATACAAATTTCTCTCATCATATCTTATGTGAATAGTTGTTACCGTGGCAATGGGTAGAAACACATTTTGTTTTTTGCAAGGGCAGCCACTATTCACATGAATAGTAGCTGCCCTAGCCCTCCCCTTTGTCATGGCAAAGGACAAATGGGTGGAGTTGCTCTTAGAGCAAGTCCACCCCAAAAGGCTAAGGCAAGGCAAGGGCTGCCACTATTCACGTGAATAGTGGCAACCTTGCCTTTTTTGATTTCACCCCAAAAAACTAGGGTAAAGGCAAATACTATTCACATAAGATATGAGAAGATGCATTTGTATAGATTTTTTGGTATGGGAAGTAAAAAATATGGTTAGGTATTTATTAAAAAAAAATCTGGAATTTTTTGTATTTTTTTTCAATTTTTTTCCTTTTTTTTTATTTGCTGGCGTCATTATGACATCAACATTACATCATTTTGTCTAGGCAGCAGCTTGGGCTGAATCTGCCTATGGGCTTGCTTGGGCTCGTGGGATCCAGCTCTTGCCAGGGCTGAACCTTGCGGGCTGGAGGTGGTTTTGGAGCTTGGGGTTGCCTTTTGCCTAGGCTAGGCCCAAGCGCTGGACATGCTCTTAAGGGGAGGCTCTTCACTCACCAAACTATATACAAAGAGTAATAAAAGAGTGAGTATGAAACGAACTGTAATTCAGACGTTACGATAGCAAATTATAATTAGATTAATTTAATTGATACGTACATGCAAGTGTATTAATTCAAATTTGAATCCACTTTGAATTTTATGATATATCATTTAAGAATCAAATTTGACGTTCTCATTTCCAAAGGAAAAAGACCTTTTGGAAGGGAAAGAGACATAAAGTAGGAGGCATTAAACTTGGGGCAAAATGCCAGTAGTACCATGCGGTCCATCCGCCATACCATTACATTTGAATGTCTTTTTCGTCTCCACCACAAAGAAAGATGAAAAATAAACGTGTTCATCATGAAAAGCATGGTAACGTACGTACGTAATTTTGGCAAAGAAGTTGTAGCTGGCTGTGGGCTGTACCTCTCAAACACCCTACCCGCCCACCAAGAAGAAGAGCACGACAAGTCACTTGCATAGAAGTGTATATGTATTTGGCGACACAATAGGCATGTGCCTTATAAACCTCAACCTTAATTAGGTGAAATCAAATTAATTATTAATTTGCTAATAGGATTGTACTTTTGGCAACGAAGGCAAAGGAAAAGTGCATCTTTTGCTGCAACTTACAGTTAGAACCTCAGAGATAGGTCCTTTTATCATCTTTTATTTTTTATTTTTTATAATCTCAAGCTATAATTCATAAGCCAAATTTTATTTGAAGAAGATGATGTGGGTTAGCTGAGATCAGTTAATCATGATAGGATAGTGTCTCTGTTCTATTATTCGAATTCGATTCCCCTATTTCGTAGTTTAGAGTAATTTAAAGTATTTTAAACTATCGTTTATGTAAAAATAAAAATAAAAAAGAAGTTTATTTGAAGTGTTTAAAATCTTCACAATAGCAATTGTCGTTACTTTTCTTGTATATGTATGAAAACTATTCTAAACTACTCAAAATTACAACAAAATAAATTTACTCTTAAGTGCAAGAAAACAGACACACTATCATAGTCGGTCGACATAGAATCGTTTAATAGTGAGGGTAGTGAGGGTAGCCCTTCACCCAAAGGCCATAGGCACAATAAAATCCTTGGACCGACTTTACTGATGTCTACCCACAATTACACTGGGCAGGACTCTGGGCCATGATCTTGTCGTATTTGCAGCAGGCCCAATTATCTACATGGTTCAAGAATTGAGACACATGTCCTGCTGTGATGAAGCCCATCATCTTAGTATTCTAACACAAAATAATCCAATTGACCAAACGACAGAACAGAAAGCAATCGTTTGTTTTTAGGTGGGCATAGAAACAGAAAGAATTGGATAAGAAGAAGACCAACCGACAAGCACAGCAGATCAACAACTACTTTAATCCATTGCGTCCTAAGTGAAAATAGGTTACAATAAATAATATTTCTATTTCAATACAATTGATTCCTTGATGGCCTTGAGTTCTTGACCTATTTGCCTTCCTATTCTTCATTTCTTAACGTTGAATGGAAACAGTAGAAGGTCGTTCCATCTCTGTATTGAAAAGGAAAGAATTTAATTCTGCGATAGTACCTGCCCCGCTCTCACCTGTGACGAATATTGAGTTTTCAGCATGTGAATATTAATACAAGTCCATTTGGGTATCATCACCTGTCTACCCTTGTTCTTAGATAACAGGTGATAACTGGTGTCTAGTTGCTCGAGAGGAGGGATCTGGTTTCGGGATATTTCTGTGCTCTGCTTACCATCCTTCTCAACACTTGATATATGTCCATAATCATAACCATGATTACATAAATTAAAATAAGAAATTAACAATAGGTATGTCTATGAACAAATGTCAAGTATCAAGAATAATGGTGTCTTAGATTAAAATTATGAGCAAAAATATTTCATACCCAAAAACAACTGTGTTATCTCATTATTTGTCAGCAATAATGACAGATTTTGACAGAAGACTATTCAAATGAAAATAATTAATTGAATGACTAAAATGACACTCAAATCACTCAGACAAAAATTCATGGACAACTTCAATTAAAAACCAATAAAACAAATTTTATTTTTGATTTTGGGTCTTATTTTTTATATGATTTTTTTTATTTATAAGGTTGAAATATTGAACCAAAATTACGTAAGGAAAGTGTGTGGCACGTGGTCAATATCTTGTATTATAAGAATTAACAAGCAGGACACGCCACCATTTCGACTTTAATTTATGTAAAATAAATTAGAGATATGCCTTTTTGCAGCCTTGGTCGTATTTAATTAGTATAAATGTGGATTTGCCTTGTGTTAATCGGCTTGATATTCTGCCCCACGCGGTCTAGCCGCCCGCGTATGAGCCACCGCCTTCTAAGAAACAACCACTCCATAAATTCTTCGCCATTCTCATCTGCGTCTGCTTCTCCTCTCTCTACTATAAATATCTTCATCTCTCATCTCTAAACCAGTAACTCAAAACCTTCCAAGTATTTCTCATTCTAAACCCCCAACATCTCATATTCTTTTGAATTTCACAGCCTTTCTTCAAAGATGAGTTCAACAAATTCCACAGGTACTGAATTTCTGCACTTCAATTACTAGTTTTTAATTAGCAACTTGGTACTCTCAAACACTATGAAAATTCATTTGTTTGGTCTTTGTTGTTGGTGGGTTGCTTAAAGTTCTGAACTTTTGTTCAACAATATAGACAAAAGATGTCTTTGAATATGGTTATTGACAATTGTCTGATGAATTTCATGTACCAGCAGCATACCCTGCCCAGTCTCCCAACTCTGCCCAGCAATATCATGTGCAAGCTCCACCTCCTGCAGGCTACCCAACAAGAGATGTGCCCCAGAACTCTGTTCCTGTAGAAACCAAGTCAAAGGGTGATGGCTTCTGGAAAGGCTGCTGTGCTGCCTTGTGTTGCTGTTGTGCGTTGGATGTTTGCTTTTGATTGAAACAAGTCCACCCAATAATCTCAGTATCTCTGATCATCATCATTTATATTTATACAATTCAGAGTTGAGTTTTAGTTTTTTGTGTGATATTGAAGAAGTGACCATGTAGATTGGATACAGTTCCGGATTGTCCAACTTTCGTCGTCTTTGTATAATAATTGTTATTCATTTCAGATATCTGGCTGCTACTTTTTTTTGTTTTTTTTGTTTTTTTTGGTTCTTCTTCTTCGTAGTGGTGGTGGATTTGTTTCTTTGTATATGGCCAGATTTAATCCCTTAATAATACAGAATCGTGCTCTTTTTCTGTTTTAGTTTAAAGTCTTTTGTCAATGTTCAAACATTAGGTGGGAGTTGATGGTGATCAATGGGGTATGAAGATTATACGAGTAAACATAAAGCAATCAAGCCAGCGTGTTTGACAAACTTGTCATTGATATTTTTGAAACTCATGCTTTGAGCATGAGGTATATCTGGTCCCATTGCCCACTCTCTTTTATATGCTTTGTACAAATTCCGTTTAAATAAAATTATCAATATTGTTGACGTCAAAAATTAGGTGAACGAGATAAGGCCACGAAACACACAAAAAAATCCCACAAATACATCGTGGGTGCACCCAAATGGATACGTCTACGTTGAGTTGTATGGTTGTTTTCACTATAATTGTTGTATGGTTGTTTTCACTATAATAGACGGTTGTCACATTGTACACATGCTTCTGAGCCTTTGAGAAAGTAAAATGAGAGTGCATGACAAACTAGGTTACAAATGAAGGGAGTGTTCCCTTAGATAAGCAAGGCTTGGGCCTTCTATTGTGAGCTTCATGTGAGCTCAGTGAGGCCTAAATTATAGTAGTAATAAATATCACATCCAAAACTATGAGTGCCACGACTCTGCTTGGGCCACCTCCACCCTCAACTGTCGACTGAATTATAGTTATATTTTTTGTTCGAATAACATTGGTTATAGAAAAAATCTTGGTGCTACTCATTGCTTCCACTTGATAAGAAAGATAAATCGTGGATCAACTAAGCCGCCTCAGAAACTTGTTTAAGAATTAAGAAAAAAAGAGAAATTTCATTTAGATTACCATTTAAATACATGGTAAATGGAGTAGAGAAAAATACTGTTGTCCAAAATTGCATTAAAAATGAAAGGAAAAACAAATGATCGACAGTTGACTCTTTCTCGAGTCGGGTATATTGAAAGACGATCAGTCAATAATTTATTCAACTAATCCATCAATCAGTTGCTCTATTATATCATTGCCGAACCCTAGTCTCTAATCAATGAAAAGTTTTATCCAAACCCCTTTTTAAAAGAAATAAAAAGTGTTAAACCACAAGGCGTGGTGCGGTTGACAAACTGTTACCTTTAGTTGGCGAGCTACCTGTCACCTTCAACTCTGCCCAGCAATATCATGTGAGCTCCTCCACCTCCTGCAGGCTACCCAACAAGAGCTGAGCCCCAGAACTCTGTTCCTGTAGAAGCCAAGTCAAAGGGTGATGGCTTCTGGAAGGGCTGCTGTGCTGCCTTGTGTTGCTGTTGTGTGTTGGATGCTTGCCTTGATTGAAACAAGTCCACCCAATAATCTCAATATCTCTGATCATCATCATTTATAGTTTTACAATTCTAAGTTTTAAGTTTTTTGTGTGATATTGAAGAAGATATGCAGTTCCTGATTGCCCAACTCTCATCGTCTTTGTATAATAATTGTTATTCATTTCAGACATCTGGCTGCTACTTTTTTTTTGTTTGTTCTTCTTCTTTGTAGTGTTGATGGTGGATGTGTTTCTTCGTATATGGTCAGATTTAATCCCTTAATAATACAAAATATTATCGTGCTCTTTTTCTGTTGTAGTTTAAACTCTTTTGTCAATGTTCAAACATTAGGTGGCGTCAAAAATGGGGTATATCTGGTCCCGTCGTTGATAGTGTTGAGCAACCAAGCCAGCGTGTTTGACAAACTTGTCATTGATTTTTTTGAAACTCATGCTTTAAGCATGAGGTATATCTGGTTCCATTGCCCACTCTCTTTAATATGCTTTGCACAAATTCCGTTTAAATAAAATTATCAATATTGTGAGATAAGATCACAAAACACACACATAAACACTACAGATATATCGTGGTTCACCCGAATGGATACGTCACGTTGAATTTTTTTTTCTTGAAAGAGGAAATCATTGATAACAATTAAGAGGATACAACAATATCATCTTGTACAATTGGCTCCAGTCAAAGGAGAACTTCTTCAATCCAAGTTACTATAGTATTACATTTCAGTGCATGACTTGCTAGAAAATGAGTTACTTGATTGCACCCCTTGAACTGAAAAAAATAATAACAATTGTAGACAGTTGTTATATTGTACATAGGCTTGAGACCCTTTGAGAAAGTAAGATGAGAGTGCACAACAAACTAGGTTACAAATGAAGGGAGTGTTCCCTTAAATATGCAAGACTTGGGCCTTCTATTGTGAGCTTCATGTGCTGAGCAAAAAAACTTAATAATAATATTGTGAGCTTCATGTGAGCCTAGTGATGCCCAAATCATAGTACTAACAAATATCACATCTATAACAAATGAGGGGATCCTTTATAGCCATTCGATCCAGTATAAAATTATTATTGGATTGTTAGATTGAACCCCTCAACATAGTCCTCCATTATAAAAGCTCTCTCCATAACTATGGGTGGCCATGATTCTATTCGGCCCACCTCCACCCACAACAGTCTACTGAATTGTAGTTATATTTCTGGTTCGAATAAAATTGGTTATAGAAAAAATCTTGGTGCTAACCATTGCTCCCACTTGATATGAAAGATAAATCATGGATCAACTAAGCCGCCTAAGAAATTTGCATAAGAATAAAAAAAGAGAAATTTCATTTAGATACCTGTTTTTTTTATATAATTATTATAAAGAATTTAGATACCATTTAAATACATGGTAGATGGGGTGTCCAAAATTGTATTAAAAAATAGAAAGAAAAACAAATGTTCGATTGTTGACTCTTTCTCAAGTCGAATATATTGAAATACAATAGAGGACCACATTATTCCTAAAACTTGTGATTTTTTAAAAGCGATAGTTATTACTGACAATAACAACACAAGGAACAAACTTTCACTCCTTAATCTCCCCAAAATAACATTTGTTCATGTTTCTCATGTTTGGGTTTTGGATAGTATTGATTGTTTTCAGTGCTATCTTATGTACACTCTTATAGTGCTTATTATTTTAATAAAGTATCTATTCCAACAACAACAAAAATCTCCCAAAATATGGAGAATCCAAAGATGATTAGTCAATAATTTATTCAACTAATTTATCAATCAATTCCTCTATTCTATCCAATCCTTAGTCCATTTTTCAAAGAAATAAAAGTGTTAGAGCAAAAAAGAAACCAAAGACTGGGTCTCTAGAACTCATGAAGCCACATTTGTTCGCTCGAGTCTGTAACGTTGACAATTGAATGAAACCTTACTATTTCAACAAAACAAAAACTCATTTTGGACTAAATAGTAACCATAAAAGGCCGAGAGCAATTGAATCCACAACCCTTATTCAAGCCCATTACTTACATTTTGTCATCTTCATCATAATTCCGTTTTATTTTTGCAATATTCTAAAATTTTAAAGTAATAATGAAAATAGCCAACACATTTAGATAAATGCAAAATGGTATTGACTTGCAGACCAATAGTCTTAGGTTTGAACCCCCATAGCATCTTAGTTTAGACAAACTTGTGATCAATTGTGTATAAGAAACCTTTATCCCCTTATAGTTTAGACTATCACTTATATTTATATATAAAAAAATAATAATAATGAATTTTTTTATAAAAAAATTGCATGATTTAATTTTTTTAACCAAAATTAATAACAAAATATACTGCATTTTTTTTTCCAAACTTATTTTATATTTTTGGTTGTGCTCCAATTAAGGAAGAGAAATAAAATAATAGTTAGCCAGCCCAATCCAAGTCCTAAAAGCCCAACACAAAAACTCTCGTCAGCCCAGATCCACCTAAACCTAGGGTTTCGCTGAGCCGCCATAACTATATAATCGCTCATTTAGGGTTTTTCCTCACCACATTTGGCCGAAACCAGAGAGTGAGAGAGAGGAGAGAAGAGAGAGGCACAATGGTTAAGTTTCTGAAGCCTAACAAGGCCATCATCATCCTCCAGGGCCGCTACGCCGGACGCAAGGCCGTGATCGTTCGCGCCTTCGACGACGGCACTCGCGATCGTCCCTATGGCCACTGTTTGGTTGCGGGGATAAAGAAGTATCCCAGCAAGGTTATCCGCAAGGACTCGGCGAAGAAGACTGCCAAGAAATCCAGGGTAAAGCCCTTCGTCAAGCTCGTGAACTACCAGCACCTCATGCCCACTCGCTACACCCTGGATGTGGATCTCAAGGACGTCGTCAACGTTGAAGCTTTCGCGACCAAGGACAAGAAGGTGACTGCATTGAAGGAGACCAAGAAGCGCTTCGAGGAGCGGTTCAAGACCGGGAAGAACAGGTGGTTCTTCACCAAGCTCAGGTTCTGAGGGAGCTCGACCGGCGTCGTGCTGGAAATGGGTCTGATTTTGTCTTCTGTTTTTTCAAGTTAATTTTGGATTGAAAATGGTTTAGGATCTGTGTGGATGAGACTTTTTATGGATTTATGCATTAATGCTTAGTTAAACAATTAGATTTGTTATTACTAAAATGTTAAATTTGGCATTTCTTGCTTTACTATGTTACTCGAGATTTTATATCCTCATTGCTTATCTGTGTTGCTTGATATGTTCATTTTCTGCAATTGGTATGTCGTGATTTGCTTCTGGATTACAATTTTATTTTGGGGTTCGTAGAGATTGGATTTCAGTCTATCTTGTGCAGCTAGATGTGCTGATTTTGTGCATAGATGGTGTGCCTTTTGCACAAGATCATTTGGATTTTGTATAGGAAATTGTCCTGTATACTTAGTATCAGTTGAAGAGTCACTTGGTAATGCTAAACGCATCTGACCTGTATACAAATTATATATACCTGCCTACTGTTGTGAAAGTTATATGTTCCCATTTGGATTTTGTAACCTGAGTAATAAAACAAACCTAATCACCCAGGTGTTATGTCAAATGTTTTGTTCAAATTTATTCAAGACACCCAAGGTTTAGTTACTATTTACTACAACTTTCAAATAGTCAAGTCTTTTAATCTTAAGTATGCATCTTCTGAACTTGTTTTTTTGGTAAATAAATGCTTTTTAAATCTCGAATGATTATGAAGGTTCAGCTTTTTAAACATGTCGGGTCGTTAAAGTTTCCAGCTTAATGTGGTGGATTGAGTTATTTACTGAGTACTGTTGGCCAATATAGTTGATTCCATAATCTGTTAAGGGCTTGTAGCATGAATATCTTGATGGGGGCGTTAGTGTTGCTGGTATTTTGGCTAGTGTCTTTCGTCACAGTTTGTCAAATTTTTATGAATGAAATATACGTGAAGCAACTCAAAGAGTTATACTGTAGGGTTAAGCTGATCTTGTCGAGTTACTGGTTAGTAATAGATGACCCAACCTTATGCAAAATGTTTGATTTGTGTGTTATGATTTTTGTTGTTCGAGTGGACTTGTTGTTCGTGTTTGTATGGATACTGTAATTGACTTATCCTCTTTGCCCTTGTATGAGGTTTTGTGACTTCTTGACGGTATGCTGCTTAGACTGGGTATTGCTAATCTAGTTATTACTAATTTTTATGTTCTCGAAATTGGGCATCGACTTGGACGGGAATGTTGTGCTCAGCTGGACAGTGCAGATACTGTTGATGTTTACTTTTGAATTAAGTTTTTGATTGATTTTTTTGTTGTTGCTTTGATGCTGCAAATATTAGACTTCATGCGGTGCTTTTGATCATGCAAGAACTCGGACCAGATTGCATGTTTGTTATGTTAGCAAACAAATCATTAGCAGCGGGAGCGGTTATTTCTAGATCATTAGCTGTGCCTGTTAAATTTTCCCAATGCTTGCCTAATAGAATCTTTGTTCTGATTGATGGCTACGTATGGCCGAAAACCTTGGAACAAGTACCATTTGCCATTGGGCTTTTTCTTGTTTGGGGATATTCATGGGATTTTCGTTGAAGGGTTGAATTACGAATCAACCCATGACCCAATAACCTAAGAATAGTGTTGAATTCCCCTAAAGAGCACATGACCTATACGAGCTAGAAGTAGTGGCTAGAGAAAAAGAAAGCGAAAAGACAATGCGATAGGGATGTTTTCTGGGTGGGTGACTTAATGTGCTGCAGTGAAAAAGCGTTAAAGTGGTGTGTGGATTGGATGTGAATGGTTTATCTGGCTGGCTTTTGAGTCTCCCCTATATTTAGGCCCACCACCATGCTCTTTTTCAGTATTGACATTGCCCTTCATAAATCCCAAGTTATGAAGGAGATATAAGACTTAACAATGTCGTTTGGTCGTTAGGAAAAATTTATATTTTAAAAAAATTGTCTTGTGTGTCTAGCGGGCAAACCCAATTAGAGAAGAGGCTTTAGATTCTTTGTTCTGACTGAGAAGAGGCTTGGATGCATACATCATTTGATGTATGAGTCAGATAACCGGCCCTCAATTAAAAACAGAAACAAAGAAGCATGGTGTACCATAGATTCCTTTCCTCCATCATTTTGGTAGACATCAGAGATGCGCAGCCGATTTTACTCGGTACTTCTCTTTTCTTGATGAAGCAAGGGGTTTTGCTTATAGAGTAAGCAATAATTTGAATGCAAGCGATGATTTAAACTACAAGGGGTAGAGAGTTTCTCACACATACATTAGCACTATCAAAATATCTTAGAGGTTCAAACCTGAGATCGCTCGTTTGCAAATCAATATCTTTTTTCACTGAGCTAGAATCCGTTGACAAGCAAACCAAATCAATATCTTTTTTCACTGAGCTAGAATCCGTTGGCAAGCAAACCAAATCTCATTGTGTTGTATAGTGTGCCATAGATCCTTTTTTTTTCCTGGCTTGTAGAGCTGCAAGCCGCCACAAAAATTCCCAGAATTTGTGAATTTTGAATGCTCTAGATGTTTGCATCCAACCAAACAAACAATATTCAAATGCTGATTTATTTGACATGGGAGATAAAATTAACAAATAACACAAATCAATGTCAACACAAGCAACAAACCATCAACCCTTATAATCTTCCTAAAACATCGTCCCGAGAATCCAAAGATGATGCTAATTATACGATTAAGAAACTGATTAATTAATAATCTATTCAACTAATCCATCAATCAATCCCTTTATTCTATCATTTTCCCTAATCCCCCAACACAACAAACGGGCTTAACGACACGCCCAAACGGAGTACCTAACGAGGGCGATCTCCCCCACACGTGTCACTCCCACGCTCACACGGATCCCCCAACCCAAACGGACTTATCCTATTTTGATTTTGGGATTTTCTTCCCCACCCCCTCTAAAGTTGTCAAACTTTCTGTCTCTTTTTCCCCCATTTTCTCTCTCTCCAAACACCACCCTTTCTCCTCTCTCTCTCTCTCTCTCTCTCTCTCTCTCTCTCTCTGACACCACCTCCTCTCTGCAAACTTCACTGTGCAAGCCTTTGCTTGTCTTTCTCGCTTTTCTTTGTCTCTTTTCGCTCGAAAGCTTCCTCACTTTTATATTCTCTATCGCCCTCTCCACAATTACACACACTCATCATCTTCTGCCAGTCATGCTTCAGAGCTTAGTTCCTCAATCCCCAATAGGCGCCGCGAACCCTAACAATAACCCTAGCTCCTCATCTTCCTCCATGAAGACCAAACGCGTCGACCGCGACCTCGCCGGCGGAGAATCATCCGGCGAAGACCCCTCCTTCACAAAGCGCCCCAATTCCGGCCGGAATTTCTCCCGCGAAAAAACCGCAGACGAGCGCGGGAAGGAGCCGGTCGCCGAGGGCGAGTCGGCCGGTCTTAGACTCCTCGGGCTTCTCCTACAATGCGCCGAGTGCGTCGCCATGGACAGCCTCGACGAAGCCAGCGATCTCCTCCCGGAGATCGCCGAGCTCTCCTCGCCGTTCGGATCTTCACCGGAGCGAGTTGGCGCGTATTTTGCGCACGCGCTTCAGACGCGCGTGATCAGCTCCTGCTTAGGCACCTACTCTCCCCTCACCACCAAAACCCTAACCTTAGCTCAGTCCCAGCGGATCTTCAACGCTCTGCAATCCTACAACTCCATCAGTCCTCTAGTCAAATTCTCTCACTTCACGTCCAACCAAGCCATCTTCCAGGCCTTGGACGGCGAGGATCACGTCCACGTCATCGATTTGGATATAATGCAAGGCCTCCAGTGGCCAGGATTGTTCCACATCTTAGCCTCGCGGTCGAAGAAGATCCGATCAATGCGGATAACCGGGTTCGGATCCTCGTCGGAGCTTCTTGAGTCGACCGGGCGGAGACTCGCCGATTTCGCGAGCTCGCTCGGCCTTCCCTTCGAGTTCCGGCCCCTGGAGGGCAAAATCGGAAGCATCACCGAGCTGAGTCAACTTGGAGTGAGACCGGACGAGGCCACAGTGGTCCACTGGATGCACCATTGTCTGTATGACGTCACCGGCAGTGATTTGGCGACGCTGAGATTGCTGGGCTCGCTGAGACCGAAGCTGATCACGATCGCCGAGCAGGACCTGAGCCATAGCGGAAGCTTCTTGGGGAGGTTCGTGGAGGCCTTGCATTACTACAGTGCGCTGTTTGACGCGCTTGGGGATGGATTGGGAGCGGACAGCCTAGAGAGGCATATGGTGGAGCAGCAGCTGTTTGGCTGCGAGATTAGGAATATTCTAGCCGTGGGTGGGCCCAAGAGGACCGGGGAGGTGAAGGTGGAGAGGTGGGGGGATGAGTTGAAGCGGGTCGGGTTTCGGCCCGTTTCGCTTGGCGGGAACCCGGCGGCCCAGGCAAGCTTGCTGCTTGGGATGTTTCCCTGGAAAGGATACACCTTGGTTGAGGAAAATGGGTGCTTGAAGTTGGGTTGGAAGGACCTCTCCTTGCTTACAGCCTCTGCTTGGCAGCCGTTGGATTGAATTACTTTGACCCGAGTGGCCGATTGGCCGATTGGGTTGCTTGGATGTTGCGAAGGAGACCAACATGATCCACCACGTTGATTGTTGGGGTGAAATTGATGAACATTGGGTAGTGATGAATTTGATAATTGGCAAACCAATTATCACGACATGTTGGGGATCGATGGAGGAGGTGGAGTTGTATTTGTTTTCACTTGGGTGTAATTCTTTGAAGGATAAAAACAATGTAGTTAGTTTTTGTTTTTTATATTTAAATTTATATGTGAAAAGAAAAAAGAAAAAGGAAAAAGATCCATATCTGATGGGGTCTAATCTATAGATGGTGAATTCAAGTGACAATCATTGGAGTTCTTAAATGAGTTACAATTGTTTAATTCATTTGAGAATACTTAATGTAAGTTTTGGTGATGCAATGCCATGGGTTGGGTGGAAAGTTGCAATCAAACATGGAAGAATATAAAAGGGAAACAAAGAAGACTTGTCCTGCTTGGTGTGCTGATGATTTTAAGGTCACGTTTTGTGAGTGGGAGTCGGGATTGAATTGTGCTATTTCAATTAAAATAGAGTCATGGTTGTTATGGTTGTTGTTTGGCGCAATGGGGGAATTGTACTTGTTGTAATAAATAACAATACAACATATTGTGTGTTACAAGTCTTACCTAATGATGGAATTCATAAAGACCGATTTGGACTAAGCTCTAATTCAATTCAAACTGGGTTTGGCGCGATGGGAGGATTGTACTTGTTAAAATGGATAACAATCTAACATATTGTGTCTTATAAATCTCATTTAAGGATGAAATTCATAAGACTGACTTGGACTAAACTCCAATTCAATTCAAATCGGATCACCAAACGAGCCCTAAGATTTTAAGAATTAGTAGGGAGAAAATGAAAGCTTGCTGGGTTGGTCTGGGTTGGGTGATTGGGGAATTTGGGATTTTGCATAGTCGCCACAAATGAAATGAGGGCACATGGAAGTGTACTCTAGGCTAGACTATGAAAGCTTACCTCGCTTTTGTCAGAAATTCAGATATGCATATATATGCTGGTGCTTCTGTAATCCCTAGAAACCAATCTCTCATATACAAAAGAAGTGGCTATCCTTCTCTTCTTTCATTGTGGCGTATCAGTTCCTGGTTGGCTGAATGGAATGAATTGGTTCAAACTGACATGATATAGACCTTTTTTTATGCAAAAGTGAAAAAGTTACTTCTCTCTGTAACATTTCAAGATCTATCTTTAATGAATTTTAACATGATACGGATTAAAAGCCAAAACTAAAGCATTCCTTCACATGTTCATCTTACCACTTTAATGACTCATCAACTAGTTCAACAATTCTAACTTTTTAACTATATTTCAGATCAAAATGCCACTATGTTCGACCCTATAAATTTGTATGTTCAACTTTACATTCAACTATTTTTATATAAATATATATATTTTACTCGTTATTTGACCTAGCATTTGTGGGTCTTTTCACACCAGCGATTCCATAGTGAGGACTTAATCTAAGACCCTTAGATGAGACCTTATTTTTTAACCGTTTGATCAAATTGATTAGCCTTAGAAAAGACCCTCGTTATGAAATTCTACTTTTCGACATGCAAACATAACATGGCTCATGCTTATTGAGTTTCCAAAACCAAAGAAAATTGGGCCAGGCTGAGGTTAGAGAGGGCTAGGCCCAATAGCAACCAAGTCAAAACTATAATTTTATAGAAATTGAGCCAGTATATGAACCAATGAAAGTTGGGCTAGCCTGCATTTTAGAAAACCTTAATTTAAACGGAAAAAAAGTATTTTTTGTATATAAAAGTTATGCAATTTTTCTGCATATGGTTGCAGTTTGGTTACCACAAATTTTCAATGAAATTATGAACTGACCGACATGATGAATCATGAACCGACCGATATATTGCGGTATACCGCAATTGTCGGTATATTACAGTCGATATAGGGAACAACATCTAATATTAGAGAACTTTCTATTAACAAAAAAAAGAGTTTGCTCATGCTTAAAAATACTGTTGAAATAAGTAGAACTTTTTATCATTGGCAATGAATCTTTAACTCATATACGGATATAATGAACTTTATTATTAAAAATAAACCAATACAATCCACAATCATGCTAATGCATAATTAATCAACTAAATAGTTTTTTTTGGGATCAAATAGAAACTTCATTAAATAAACTTCAACTGTACAATCAAAGACATCTAAAATACCAATCCTAAGAGGGCAACAAATTAACATGCTAAAAGCAAAACTAACGCGGACAAAAGCCACACTAAAACTACTAGCCTACATCACCACAATTAGCTATAAGCCCAAATAAAGCCCACAAACCAACCTTAAATCAACCCATGAGCCTAAACGAACTCTAGTACCATAACCTAAAGAAGCACTGTCGCGGCCACATGTGAGAATCCTTATTCTTAAAAGTGTTAATATTTATTTTGGTAAGTATTAAATTATAAATTATAAATTATTTTATGGAAGTCTATGTTTTATTTGCTTCACTTAAATGCAAATTTAATAATTTTGATTATATATATAGTTGTTTGACCATTTTAATAATTATATATATATTATTATATTACAAAATGTAGAGAAGACACAAACGTCCTAGCTTGCTGCATGCATAGCTTGTTATAGTATATATTTTATTATATTAATTATATAGGAAGCATGAGGTGGATAACTTAAGCTGGAGGTGGCACCATTTCTTAGTTGCTTAAGGGACGTGTAAACATATAAGATTGTTGCATTGCTATCCAAGTGCTAGCTGGCTTTACTTCATAAAAATATCATCTCAAAACCAAATGTTAGCACTTATCTCCAACCTCCAAACATATCAACCAATGATAGACTAATAGTTGCCGCCTTATTTCTAGTATAAATAGAGAGTTGCATGTACAAATGGTTTACACATCTTGAGAAGGGCATGCATAGCTTGCTTAAGAAACGAGAAGACCATATTGGTAGAGAGAAAAAGAAAGAGAGAGAGAGAGAGAGTGGTAATAATATTCTTGGAGGAGTTAGAGGTCGGAGCTTGTGTTTTTCTTAACTTGGAGTTAGCTTTGGAAATAAGGTAGGGGTTTCTTGGGGGGCCTTTTTCAGAGATTGATTTAATTAAATTTCGTGAGCATTATATTATACATGGTACTGTTTGATTTACGTACTCTTAACTGTTTGAACAATGTGGGCATGATTATATGTACATTGGTGATATTTAAATGATTACATTGTTTTTTATGAGATATGTGAACTATATAATGTCATGGAAATTATTTGGAGTTCTTGGGTTGAGAAAATAATGGTGGAAAAAGAGGGTAATGGGAATGGTCTTTTGTGTAGTTGAGTCTAACTCTTGGCAGGTACCAGGTCTCAGGGATCCCACAGTGCACATGGTTTTTATTGGGTGATTCGGGACTGGCGAAAGGGAGTTAGACAAGATGACTAACAAAAGGGGGAATTATGGATGATTAAAATGGGTGTTAGTTCATATAAATGGGCATTCGGGACCAAGTGGTATAAGCATGGTATGGGACGTGCAGGTCTGCTTGTCCAGTTATATGAATTAACGGGATTAGATGAAGAGCATTCATGCATTGTTACTAATAATGTGAATTTGGCTGCTTGATTATTTGTCACTTAATTTAATTATATCAATTTATAGTAAAAAGGTTTATGTCCCTACTGAGCTGTGGTTTCGCTCACCCCCTAATAGATTTTGCAGGTACCGAACCTGAAATCTAGAGCTTGTGATGATTTTGGCATGTCTATAGAATGTAACATAGCTTGTGGTTGAATAATGAGCTACTCTTTAAGTGAACTCTCGAGTAGTTCTAACTTGTAAAATAATGTAAAATTTTTATGGTTTCAGATGTTATCGTTTACGCGTTTCTGCTGAATATTTTATGTGAAATATTTATTTTATTTATTTAAATGTTTTCTTCACATTTTAGTTATAGTTTTTATTAAATTCTATAATTAAAGTGTGAATCACGTCTTAACCCAAGATTTTGTAAATCCGAGGGTTGGGGTGTGACACCACACCCATTACCGCATCCTTAACAGATCTGGGGAAAATATGATTTCCAGCTATCTACTTGTGCATAAGAGCGAACAAATAAATGAAAACAACAACTTTGCCAAAGAACAATTGGGTGATTTGCAACAACCTATGTCAAAGATGATGTAGAATCAAATTTAAAGAACATAAACGGCGTTAGGGAACGGATTTTGGGAGTAGGATTTGATTGAGAATATAGACTAAAGGGGTGATTGAGAACTTCAATCTAACCATGGCTTAGAAGAAACCATCACAAGGGGCCTTTTATTCAAAATACCTTAGTAGACTTATTCACTAACCTAAAAGGAAAAGACGAGAAGAGAGAAGGGGGAGGAGAGGCAGTAATGCTTCTTCCTTTTCCCCCCTTTAGGAAATTTTCCTTTAAGACTCATAGAGGGAGAGAACGGCTAGGGTTTGGGTTCGGGAGTGCTTCCTACCTTAATTAACTAAATAGTTGATTGCAAGCTAGAGATTATCTCTTGCTAACTCACTAATAACAACCTAACAAAATTACCAACATAATCAATTAGTTTGCAATACTAATTGAAACCCAGGTTGCTAGTGTATAAAGTTTAATTATTTACTAATTAAGTTATATCAATTTACTAAATATTCAAATGATATTTTTTCAAGGCTGAGAATAAAAAAATAAAAAAGTAGAGAGAACTTCAAGAGATTGGCGGAGAATACACTTCATTAGTAATGAGAGAGAGAGAGAGAATAAAAGAAAAAGAAGAAGAAAAGAAGAAGAGAGAAGAGAGAAACATCTATCTAAATGATGAAGTCCTACCATCTTTTAGTTAATATGAAATAATTATAAGTATTTATTTTAATAATTAATTAAATTATATTGCGGTTTGTAGTACACCACATTATTTGGATATGCGGAACTGCAATCGCAATCTCATATTGCGGTTGGTTCTATAAACCGCATATTGCGGTCGATTTTCGTGATAGGTCGGTTTAGATATGATAAATCTCTGTCGGTATTGCGGTTTTTCAATTTTTCAGTCTAAAATGCCAGCCCTACATTTACATATAAAATGTAAATGAATTTTTAATAAATTATGCATTTATTACTTACTATTACGCTGAAACGCCCTTAAAAAAATGAAAATCACAACTTCACAACCGGTTGACCTCTATGTTAACACCAAAATCCATCAAAAGCCCGCACGCTTGGGTCTCTCTCTCCTAAACAAAACAAAACACAAAGCCCTCTTTCTCTCTCCTCTGCGTTTCCCAAAAGCCTCCGAAGACTGACATAAATTACCAAGACAAGTAAGTTTATCGTCTCCCTCTTCTCTTTCGAATTCTTTTGCCAAATGTAACATATTTCTCAGTTTATTGCATGAAGCATTCTGGGTAGCGATTGATTGATTGATCATAAAGTTTATTAGGATGATATCTCTAGAGGGTTTTGAGCCCGTCGCTGTCTCTCCACACAAACAAGACCCAGCATGGAAACACTGCCAACTTTTCATCAAAGACCAGCCCAATGGAGTTAAGGCTGAGCTGAAGAAGTGCATATATTGTGGCAAAGTGTTTCAGGGTGGTGGAATTAACAGGCTTAAATCCCACCTTGCTGGTCGAAAGGGCAATGGTCCTACTTGTGACCAAACCCCACCAGATGTTCGTATTTCCATGTTACAGAGTTTAGATAATGGGATTGCAGCGTTTAGGCACAGGAAGGGTCAAATTGTTGCAAACCCACATCACAGTCCTAGTGAATTAGACAATTCATTTGCTGAAAATGGGGACTGCAAATTGATGGTAGGACCCGATTCGAATTCGCTTGTGAATCAAGAAGAAGATGTTGGAATGAGTGGGAATGGAGTTGGGTTGAGTGGTAATCTGACTAATGTACCCCTTGAAGTAGACAATTCTTATAGGAGTAATGCTGCAATGCATAGATCAGCTGGAGTGCCCAAATTGAATTTTTCGGTGAATCAAGAAGAAGATGCTGGAATGAGTGTGGATAGAAGAGTGAGGTGGAGGGGTGGAACTTCTTCTGCAGATACTGGTTCTGGTTCTGTTGATGGCGTTACGAAATTGAGTAACGTTTCAGCTCCTATTCCTATTGCATTAGGTAGTGCTTTTTCTGAAGACACCCAAGGGAGATCAACTGGTTTTCCCAACTCATATTGGTTGGAAAATGAGGAAGTTGGCATAAGTAATACAAATGTGAGTGCAAGGAAGAGGGTGAGAGGTGAAAGTGCTGTGGGGGCTGCCAATGCTGGAACTGTCGACAATAATTATGAGGTGAAAGAGGTCGGCAATCAACAAATTCATATGGCAATAGGGCGGTTTTTATATGAAATTCAGGCTCCCCTGGATGTGGTGAAGAACTCGGTTTATTTCCAGCCAATGATTGATGCTATTGCCTCTCGGGGAAAGGGGACTATAGCACCTTCATATGATGACCTTAGGGGTTGGATATTGAAGAATGCAGTTGGAGAGGTGAAGAGTGATATTCATCAACACATGGAAACTTGGGCAAGGACTGGTTGTTCCCTTTTAGTCAACCAATGGAGTTCTGAGAAGGGTAAAACTTTGCTAAATTTTGCAGTGCAATGCCCTGAAGGAACAATCTATCTGAAATCTATGGATGCTTCCTACTTTATTTTTTCCCCAGATGCTTTATTCGAGTTTCTTAAGGAAGTGGTGGAAGAAGTTGGAGTTGGGCATGTTTTGCAAGTCATTACAAATACTGAAGAGCAATTTGCTGTTGCTGGGAAGAGGTTGATGGATACATTCCCTACCCTGTACTGGTCTCCCTGTGCTGCCACTTCCATAGATTTGATCCTTGAGGATTTTGGAAAAGTTGAGTGGATAAATTCTGTAATTGAACAGGCTAGATCTGTTACAAGATTTATCTACAAACATGTTGTCATTTTGAATATGATGAGAAGGTATACTTTTGGTAATGACATTGTGAGGCTGGGAGTAACTAGGTTTGCTACAAACTTTATGACATTGAAGCAAATGGCTGACCTTAAATTTAATTTGCAGTCTATGGTTACTTCAAAAGAATGGATGTGCTGCCCCTACTCCAAAACACCAGAAGGATCAGCAGTGCTAGATATATTAAGCAATCACGCATTTTGGTCTTCGTGCATTTTGGTCACACATTTAACAAACCCACTTTTGCGAGTTTTGAGAATTGTTGGTAGCCAGAAGAGGGCAGCAATGGGATATGTTTTTGCAGGAATATATCGAGCAAAAGAAACAATCAAAAGAGAACTTGTCAAGAGAGAAGAATACATGGTCTACTGGGATATTATCGATTACAGGTGGAAAAAGTTATGGCATCTTCCTCTTCATGCTGCAGGTTTTTACCTTAATCCCAAGTTTTTCTATAGTGTCAAAGGAGACTTGCATAATGAGATCATATCAAGGATATTTGACTGCATAGAGAGTTTGGTTCCTGATATAAAAGTCCAAGATGAAGTTATCAAAGAGATAAATTTGTACAAAAATGCTGTTGGAGATTTGGGGAGGAATTTGGCAGTTCGAGCTAGAGACAATCTACTTCCTGGTGAGGATCTTTCATTAGAGTGCATTGTTATTTTGGGTGACAGGATTTCTTTATTTAGTTGGCTAAACATACAGACGAAAGGTGATCAAACCATATTTTAACTTCTTCTTTAAAAATAAAATAAAATAAAATAATAGAATGATAAATGTGATAAAATGCTAAAAAAAGCGCCCAGAGTATTGCCTATGTCAGTCATTCTGGTGTTAAATTAGATTTTGGTATGAGCCCCCTTTTTTGAAGTTGTGCTGCATAGAGTTTGGATCTTATGGCATCTTTCAGCTAATTTCTTTAAACGTTCTGTTTGCCTAAGCTGAATGGTGGTCGACATATGGTAGTAGTTGCCCAAACCTTGCTCGCTTGGCAATTCGTATTCTCAGTCAAACTTGCAGCATAGTTCAAGGTCAGGAGAATCAAATTCCTTTTGAACTGTTGCACAAGACGAGGAACAGCTTAGAATGTCAACGGCTTATTGATCTTGTTTTTGTTCAATACAACCTGAAACTAAAACAAAAGTAAGTAGAAACAATAGGTTCTGTATATTGGTATTTTCCAAATTTTCTTTGGTAAAAGAAAATAGCTCTTTTGCTAATTGCTTTCTTCTAGGGTTCACAAGCACAAAGAACAGGAAGATGTCGGTCCTATATCATTTGACCGCAATAGCATTGTCGAAGACTGGGTGACAGAGACGGAAATGCCCCTAGAAGACAATGAAAATCCTGATTGGATGTCACTTGATCCCCCCTCTGGTAACACAAGGCTTTTAGAACTTTCAGTTGATGAAGCTGAAGATTTGGGTTCAGGTAACTAAGTTTGTATGGATTATGAATTATGAATATTAATTTTTTTTGGTATTGAGTTGAACTAGAATGTCGGTTGATGCACAGGGTTTGATGACAACGAGATCTTTATCGGATTGAAATTGGTTAAAGGGGAATGTTGAACACGATGTTGTAAGCCGGTACGACGGAATGCAATGACACAAATCATTTTTTGAGTCCACTATAATCACTCCTTCACTTTCTTCAAGTACCTAGACGAGCAAGGTACTGTAACAACGTAGTATGTCCAGAAATACTGCTCGATTCCGAAAGATAATATTCTTTTCATGGCATTACTGCAGAGGTGGTGGAACCCCGAGATGCTATTGCTAATGCTAAGAAAAAAAAAGTACATCATGGCTCAGCCTCCACAGATGTGGATGGGTTCAGCAAGTTCCTGCAGCAGACAATTACATGTAGGTAGCTTTCATGGAAGAAAATAGGGTTTTGCAACTAACAACCTAGAATGCTGAAGTTTTTGTACTTTCAGATATGCCCTTGTATATGTAATCATATTTATAATTTGCACGTGACTAACAAAATGGAAAGTGCCAAAGCTGCGTATAACATTTTGTTATACCTTCAAATTTCTCTGGATTATTCAACATGAAAAATGGTCAAATATTCAAATTTTCTCTGAATTAATTCAACATCAACGTGCTTATAGATGAAACTAACCATAAGTTCACGATGATATGTGAAATTTTAGTTTAGAGATGAATTATTACTTGAAGCAATAAAATTAGTTTTGTGTTATTTGAAAACCTAGTTAAGCATTTAGATAGAAAACTAACAGAGTTAAGCATTTAGATAGAAAACTGCATTCCCCTACGAATTTTTTTCAACGATCCAAACTGTCTATTTTTCAAATCTTCACGGCACTTCGCATAACGTTTACTTGAGCTTATTTTTACTTTCTTTTTCTCTTTGGCCCCGGTTTTTTTTCCTTTTTGTTTCATCAGGAGAAATATGTTTTGTAGAGGCTCCTCGACCAACTCATAACACAGCTTTGCACACACTGATTTTTAGATGGGGGACGTGCCAAATATCGGCCTTACAGCCCATCAATAAACTCATAAAGAGAACAAGCTGTAAACATACAAGTTTTCAGACACGCATGTACAGCTGTAAATATTTGTGAAAGCATCTGCAACCCAATCCAAAAACTAAATACAAACTTGAATAATACATGATTCAACTATGTTTTGCTTTGCAAACAGGCAAGGGTATAGGCATTAAAATAAATTCCCCGACCAACAACCTCAAAAACTAAGCTTGAAAGCACAAAAACCAAGCCTTCAATCTTCTGTGCATAATTTATACCAACCGAAACAATTAAAGAAAAAAAAATATCACCAACACCTGAGGGGCGAAACCAAAAACCACAGTAGCAAATCTAGTATCGTCTCCCGAGAATGATGCCAATGATGGCAGACACCACAGCCACTCCCACAATGAACTTAACGCTCATCAGAGGGGAAGCCTCAGCAGTATGAGTATGGATCTCAGAAGATGATGAAGTTTGAGCAAGTGCTGCCTCTGACTTTTTCTTACTCTTCCTTTTTGATGGAGTTGAAATGGTTGATCCAATGTCCCTAGATTTCACTTCCAATCCGGCTACATTGGCATCACCCTGCAACATGATTTAAACATATCTTTTAAACAATTGTTTGCTGGAATAATTAGCTTCATGATTCTAGTAAGTTGAAATCCTTTTAGTATGTTTTGACGTCTCCATTTCCCACAAGTTTTTTAGGACAGTAAAGTCCTAAAAATTTGACAACTACTTTCGAACAAGCGTACAGCATGCATAATTTGTGTGTTATGTGTTTGCATTTTGTACTGTAGTAGTATATATAAAGTGAGTAGGGAAATAGGTATAGACAAACCCTTTCTGTTAATTTGGCATCAGCTAGCTGCAATTTTTGCCCAAGGTCTTTGACTTGCTTCTCTAGAAGAGTGATTTCTTTATTCTTAGCTTCAAGTTCTTCAAGAGAATGCTTCAATGATGCCTCTCGTTCCAGATCCTTTTGAGAATCTGCTTCTTTCTGTTGAGTAGGGAATTAAAACACGGATCATTTAACAAAACGTTAATATTAAAAGTCTGCAATTTAGAAATGCATGATGCTACTATTGATATGAACAGTCCACAGTTCTTAACTTTGAACTTATTCACCATCATACAGTTGAAGTAAAAGAAATCTTAAATAATACTGGTGCCTTACCTTTTCAGCAACAGTGGCCTGAGCAATATGTATCTCGCTCTGAAGTTTTACAACTTGTTCATTTAATAAATCTCTGTCATGGACTTTATGTGCGTGATCCTCCAATTTTGAAGTCAACTCTGCCTCTCTTTCAGCAGCAGCTGACTTAACGCTTTCAACCTACAGTTCATTGTCTGAGTCAGAAAAAATCCTTAAAAGATGAATGCACCCCTTTCCTCCACCATCCCCACCCGCCATGCAGAAAAAGAAAAATTAAAGAAAGCAGAATAAGAGCTTATTCTCTAGATTTCCTTTTTATTAAACGGATAATGTTCTACCTCTTGTTTCAGTTGAGCTTCAGTTTTCACCAATTGCTCTTCAAGCTCCTTGAGAGACTTCTCTAACAAAGATTTCTCAGCAATCTCAGCCTTGAGATTTTCAACCTCAGATTTTAAGGCATCTTCCCCTGCTTTGTGCTCCTTGAGTTGTTCTTCGAGCTGGGATATCACATGCTGGATTTCCTTCTTAATATTTTGATTCAATTCATTAAGCAGGCTGTTCTCATCCATAACTGAAGATATCTGTAGCAAAAATACGTAGTTATAGAGCATATATGGGGACAGGAAAGCATCATATAATATCAGCTTAATAATCACAAAAAGTTTAATTCACACCTGAGATTGTAGTTTCTGCCCTTCTGAAGAAAGCTGCTCCGTTAAATCTTCTATAGTCTTTTTTGAAGCCTGAAGTTGTTCAACTGTCTCTTCCTTCTCAGCAAGGGCAGTAAATTTTTTTGCTTCTACATCACTCAGTTTGGACTCATATATGGACACTTCCTCTGTAAGTTTTATGTTTGCCTCCGCTAGTTTTCTGCTCTCTTCTTCAAAGTGAGCTAACTTGGTTTGCAGTTCCTCAACAATACTCTCCAGATGCTTCAGCTTCAAGAGAGTCTCTTCCAGCTCTGCTTTTCTGGTTTCAGAAACTGAAGATGTTTCTTGAGCCTGGTCTTCATACAATTTTATTTGGCCTTCTCGAGCATCTAGCTTCTCAAGCAAGTCTTTAGCTTCCAAATCTCTTTGACTGAATCTCTGAATGGCTTCTTGCAACTTGGTTTCGGCTTCCACAACGCGGGCTTCAGCAGACGAATGAAGGTCACAGGCCCTTGAGTGCTGATCTGTTAATTCTTCAACTGTGCTCTTATGGGCAACAAGCTCTTTTGTAGCGGCTTCTTTTTCAGATAGAGCAGAGTTCAACAATTCCTGTAGTTCATCAATCTTGCTTTTCAGCTGAACATTTGTGTCAACTAACAGTTTGTTTTCTGAGAGGGACTGAGAAGCTTTGTTTTCTGCTTCCAAGATCTGTTTACTGAGTTCTTCATTAGTACTTTCCGAAGAAGCCAATTTAGTCAAGCTGTTATCCAGTTCTTCTTTCAATGACGCATATTTTTCTGCTGCTTCGGCAACCTGCTCTTCATAAACCTTCACCTGATCTTCAAGAATCTTCAGTTTCTCAAGCAGAGAATTTGCCTCGGCATCCCTGTTAGTGAAGCTTCCTATTGCTTCCTGGAGTTTGATCTCTGAATCCCTCACTAGGGATTCATGTAGTGCTTCAAGTTCTGAGTTTCTGGATGTTGTTTGCTCTAGTACTTTGCCTTGGTGCTCCAGTTGCTCCTCGGCAGACTTGAGTTTCACTATGACCTCGCCTTCTCTGATTCCAGCCTCCTTTAGATCATTTTCAATGTTTTCCAATTTCCCTTGAGTTAGATTCAATTCATTCCTCAAGACTTCCAATAGATTTTCTGCTTCAGAAAGCTTCTCACTGGAATTGTTTGATGCATCCTCTAACCTTGTCTTCTCTTCTGTAGCAACATTCAAGGCTTCTGTTAACTCCCTTTCCTTTTTATTGGCCGCTTGCAGTGCAACTTCAAGGCTAGATGTTCTTGCTTGGAATGCCTCAAGTTCAGAAGAAAGTTCAGATATCTTGTTGGAGTAATTCTTTGAATCTGCTTCTGCATCCAGACATTTCTTTTCCAATGCACTTATTTGTTCCTCAAGTTCTTGGATTCTGAACTTCTCTGTTTCAAGTAACAACTCCAGCTCACTCACCTTTTTACCAGTATCCTCCGCTTTGGTATGGGATTGTTGGAATAAATCTTCAAGTTCCAAGCTTCGCTGATGGTGTGTACTGGCCCGGCCCTCATGTTCAACACATTTCTCTGTGGCAATCTTCAATTCCTCCTGAAGCTCTGAATTCTGCAAAGATGACTGGTCTAAGGAAGATTCCAGCTGGCTTATCTTCTCCTGGTACTCTTGCACCTGACCATTCAGCTGTTTCTTTTCTTCCTCAACCTCGGCCAATGTAGTACTGAGTGCAGATAATTTTTCGGAGAGTTCTTCCAGACCACCTTCAGCAATTCCTCTGTTCAGCTCTACCACATTTACCTGTTGCTCAAGCTCTGCATTCTTTTGTTCTGCTGCTATAAAGCGCGTCTCAAGCTCTCTCAGTTGCAATTTTGCCTCTTCTGCTGCTGCATTTGAAGATTGAATAATACCCTCAAGCTCAAGATTCTTTTGAGTAGCAGTTGCAAAAGAAGCTCCTGCTTCATTATGGAGCTCTTCCAGCGACTTCAACTTCTGTTCAAGCTCTGCGTTGTTTGACAAAGCTTGAGACAAAAGAGCATCTGTTGTGCCGAAATTCTCTTCTGAAATCTTCAATTTTTCTTCAAGATCACTGCACAAATCCTTCGTCAGCTGTACATTACCAGTGAGATCTGCCACAGCTGCTTCCAGAGCTTCTTTTTCTTTGGTTACTATTGCCAATTTCTCCTGTACAACTAAGGACTCTTCCTCATGAGTTTTTTGTGCAGCTTCAACCAATTCCTTGGCGCTCAATTCCTCCTGCAGCTTCAACTTGATTTCTTCCAATTCAGAAACCTTTGCATCAAGAACTTCTTTAGTCGACGCAAACAGATTTTCAAGAGCGGAAATATCTTCCTTGACTTGAGATTCTGAGGCCTTTTTCAGGCCCAATTCTTCAGTCAGTTCATTTATAAGAGCTTCCTTGGCAGAGAGTTTCTGCTCCAAATCCACACCTTGGGACTTTGATAGAGCAAGCTCTTCTTGGACAGCAGAAAGCTCAGCAGCAGTAGAGTTGAGCGCTTCTTTGACTTTTTCATCCTCAGCAATCTTTTCATACAAGCCTTTGAGTTCTTCTTGTATGCAAGCCATCTGATCTTCCATCTCTTTTGCACTTAATTTTGCCACTTCAAGCAGTTTCTCAAACTCCAAGGCCCTCTTTGTCTCGGTTTCAGCATGCGAACCACTTTGCTTGTGCAGCTCCTCAAACTTTTGTGCCTCACCGGCAGAACTATGCAGCTCTTGCTCCAGTTCCTGCAACCTCTTTCTTGAGCTTTCAAGCTCAAGGCTGAGACCATCAAATGCTTCCTTCACCCCAACCAGATCCTTGTGCTTTTCTTCCTGAGCTTGCAACGTCTCTTGCAAAACATTGAGCTGTGAACTGTATTTCTCCTCAGCTTCAACAATTTGCTCTTGCAATTTCTTATGACTGAGTCCAAGCTCTTCATACTTCTTTCCACTTTCTTCCAGCTTCTCTTTTGTAAGCAAGACCTCATTCTTCAGCTCAGAATTCTCTGATTCCGAATGTTTCAACACACCAGCCAACTTTTCAATTTCAAGCTCAAGGTCACTCACCTTCTCCCGGGCTTCCAGCAATTCTCTGCTTGAATTGCTTGAGCTTCTCTCAATAACCGATGGCTTGTCCTCCACCAATGCTGGTTCAGCAGCATGAGAACCATCCTTCACATCTAGTGATTCCCTCTCAACTTTTATGAACTCTCCATCAAAAGTTGCTTCCTCTTCTTCTTTCTTTCCTTCATGTTCTACCGGTGGCAAGTCCCCATTCGATACCTGCATTACGACCACCGTAATCAACATTCAACATCTATTTAAAAAACTTTACAAAATCAAATGATCCCATGAAGGACTTAACGTGAATGATTGCAGATTAATCAATGTCTGAAAAAATTAGCAAAGAAAAGGGTTTAAATTACAGAACAAAATATTGCAGCTACCTTGATTGCTTCGGCATTTGTTGTTTCGGCATCCTCAAATGCCTTCACTGGGATTTCTGAGCTCACTTGTGTTTCTTCCATATTGCACCTAATTTTGACCTACTCCACTTGCGTCTCTGTGATTTACAAAGACTTCATCATCCACTTTATTATGTTATCAAATTATTACAATAATGCAGACTTGTCAAAAAAGGAAAAGAAAAAAAAAAGAATCATCTTAATAACTAGACTTCCTTTTTCTTGGAAAATTCTTTTACGTGAAGCCTTTGCAACAATAAAATGTGATTAGATAAATAGACACATGAGATGAGATGACAAAGACATTTCTTAACAAAGAAGGTAAGCTACGAGGGTAATTCTGTCATTCCATTCCGGATTAGCTGTGGGTATAAGCAAGTAAACTGCGTGCCGGAAAAAGACAACCCACCTGACGTGGCACCCAAAGTGGGTACCCACCATAAATCATTGTGGTGGCCCATCAGTATCATGGCACATATTTTATTCTTTCATTTATGTTAATGCAATTATTTCTAGATTTCTACTGGCCAAGAAAAAAATAAATTATTAGATAATAAAAACATTTGTTTTTTTATTTTCTTCAAATCAATTGGAGATTAGATTATTAAAATCACAGGGAAAAATCTTAATTTAATTGTAAATTAGGGTTGATCACATTCTTTGAAGAATTAGAATTTGATGGATTTAAAATCACCTGCTGACTGCCTGCCATATTTGTCACTTAACTAGTGAGGATGATCAATCATGTGATGATTTCATGTGAAACCATACAGTCTGCAGGCCCCAAAATTCCTCATTCAAGCTAAGTTGTTACACACAAAGACAAGGTCTTTCAACTCCATCTTCTAAGAATTTCATTTTTAATACAGATGTGACATCATTTTCATGGCTTAAAAATTGGAAAAAAAGAGAAAAATAAAAAAAGAGAAAAAAAGCTACATCTTTGAATCTCTAGTGACATCTGGACCGTTGATTGCTAATACACAAAAAGTGAAGCATAGTGGGTGGAGCCCGCAACTAAGATGGGCATTCCATACTTCAATTTTTATTTGATTGTACAAATCACAAGTCCCCATCTTTCTTAAGTTCCTTTCTAAGTTTTTATTTTTATTTTAATACAAGCGATAGTCTAAGCTACCGAGAGAATGAGATTTTTCACCCAGACACACTACCAAGCTGTCATGGGGGTTTGAACCCGAGACCAATGGTCTGCAAATAAAGAGCCATTTTCCATTAGCCTAGACCCTATTGGCAGTTCATTTCTAAGTCTATGACCAAAAAGAAAGAAGAAAAAAAAAGAGGATAATTATAAAAAAAAAAGATTCTTTCAAAGTTAAAGGTGCTTGGACAGGTAGCTTTGCCATCATTTTCTTTCTTAAGTTTCTTTTCCCTATTTTAGATTTTTGACAGAGCCTTCATCGCCATCTTTGGCTCCATAATTAGACACAAAGACAGGCATAAAAGAGCCACATCAATTATCATTCAACTGACAAATGCAGAAAAATAAGGCCACTAATTAAGGTTAATCATCAAGATCAACTTTGATAACACAATATGCATAGCATCTTATTTTTGCAGTTACAAATTCATTAACATTTCATATATTAAAAAAAAACTTTTACTAAAATAAAAAATAAATTAAGAGCTGGAATCCAAGTAAACAAAACATCAAATATATTAAATTACCAATAAATTCATGCTTTATTAATCTTAAATAGCGATCTAAACAGGTTTGACGAATAAAATCTCTTCCACCTAACAAGCCCGAGCAAATAAACAAATACATAAATAAATAAAACGGAAATATTTGATCTAGAGATTGAATTCTGGTTCTACAAAGATCTCAGAGCCATATAGACTGGTCAAACCAAAAGAATAACCCAACTGGGTTTATTGCCTCTTGACTCTCTAGTTCAAGATTTGCATCACAGATGAACTTCCTTCAGCTTTCATTTCACTGATCATCAAGTGAAAACAGAAAGAAGATGAAACAGAAAAAATAAAATGATCAAAGACCAAACGATCAGGAAATGGAATGAAGGTGAAACAATTGTGATCAAAGTGATGGGATGAGGTTGTTTCAAAGCCTTCAAAAACAGTAAATTAGAAGGAATGAAGACGAAGCAGAAAATGACCAAAGATCAGCAAACCAGCAAACAGAAGCTGAAAGAATTATGATCATTGAGATGGGTTTTGTCCAAAGAGTTCAAAGACTCAAACTTTGAAATCAGAAACACATGAATTTCTCATATGAATTGGTCATCCAAAATCACAAAATCTCAATTTTCAACCACATTTAAATAAAACCCAGATGGCAGATAACATTATCACAGAAAGATCACAGCTTGATGCTTGATCACATCACCATGTATAAAATAAAAAAAATAAAAAAGCAGAAACTGAACACTAGGCCATTCAGTAAAGCATGAAACACAGAGGAACAGAAAACAGTTCAAATTCAAAGAATGAAAACCAAGTTAGAAAAACAGAGCATGCATACATACAAATAGAAAAGACAGAGCATAAGGAAAGATTGATCGCTTGCCTGATAAAAGCTGATTGGTTTTTCCCTCAGATTTCTGTGAAGCGTTTTTATTGTTTTTTCGAAACACGAAAACGAAAAATGGGAGTGATTAGGAGCTGAGCTGGTGACGAAAAGGCAGAGGAGGAGCTATAGAGAGAGAGAGAGGGGGAGAGATTCCAAGTATATAAATATGAGTGAGGAGGCAGTGGGGTCCACCGTAGTGCCATGGGACAGTAAGGTGGGGCCGTCTATTTTCAATCGGACAGTAGCAACTTTGCTGTATTCGCAACTCTTGCCTTCCGATTTCATTTTAATTACAATGCCAACCAAAGACATAATATTATGGTGAAAAAAATCTATATGGATTTTCATTTTATTTTCTTCTTGTTTTTTTGGCATATTTTGGATTTTAAAATAATTAAATATATATTTTGGATTTTCAAATCTGGTAGATTTTTTTTTCTTCATCTATTTCAAATCTGTAGATTTGAAACCTATTGATTTGAAAATCCATGTTGTCGATACAGAATATTAGGCTTAGGAATTTGAAATTGATATTTAAATAGAGAAATATATTGTGATAATTTCAATACAATAGGCAGTGACGGACCTATTAGGACGCAAGAAGATGCACTACACCTCTTCTCGCCGGAAAAACCATTGTAAGTGCTTCAAATTGCCCCTTTGCTCAGCTGGTAGTGGTGCAGATGACCTTATTTCTATTTTCAGCATTTAAGTAAATGTCTTTGTTCTTTTACTTTCATTTATTTTATTTTACTCGATTTACTTAAGTTTACAATGTAAATAAGGAAGTACTCTCCATTTGAATTCAAATAAAAATACTAGAAAATCAATTTACCACCAAATCAAAATATGAAAAATCGGTTTTAGTGCAAAATACAATTTATGCTAAAAATGATGGCTCATTAAGTCAATAAATATTTCATACTAAAATCCCATAAAATCAAGTTTTCTTATTTGATGTGTAAGGAATAAAAGCCGCTAAAAATTATTTTGAGAAAATGATTATTCCGAAAAACAATTTTTCATAATTAGTCAATATTTTTACATAAAATAATTTTTCATATATGATATGAATGCATGAAGGGACCTAAGGTTAATTTAGGTAAAAAGCCTTAGATGTTCAATCCATAAAGAGTTTTTAGCCTTTCAAAATTGCACCTCCGCAAAAAAAATTATGGATCCGCCAGTGACGATAGGGTCTTATGTATATTAGGCTTCTAGATTTTAGTTAGAGCAGGGGAATCTATATATCTGGTACATTAGTAGGAATCGACCCAACTTTCTATATCTTTCACTTTTCGATTTTTCTGTTTCTGTCTTATGCATATTAGGCTCCTCGATGGAGTTTGGTATATTATTTGATGCATAAGTGAATGTTGTTAACTACTTTAAACTACAAACTCTTTACTCAAGACTTATCAACTCTTCTAGGAGGTGGATATGGAGTACGGTTAAAGTTGGATTTTTACAATTCCTCCCTAAAATTTGTCTAAGGAGGTGGTTTAGGAAGCCCATTATGAATGCTCTGTATATTAGGCTCCTAAATTTTAGTTAGAGTTGGGTAATCTATATATCTGGTACATTAGTTGGAATCGACTCAATTTTCTATATCTTTCATCATCTAAGTTAGTTCGATTTTCGGATTTTCTGGATATGTCTTGTGCATATTAGGCTCCTAGATTGAATTTGGTACATTATTTGGTGCATAAGTGAATGTTCTTATCTACTTTAAACTACAAACTCTTTACTCAATAGTTGGAAGTAAATTCATTTGTTTTCTCTTTCACTTATCAACTACATTCTCAACTGATGCTGTAAATGCGTAACATGAAATTGCTACAACAATTTCTCATTGTCTCTCCTTTTCTTTTGATCGAGTGAATTTCTGAATCCCAAGAATGCTAATTGTGAGAAATAAGACATAAATGAGGTTTAATTGGTCATTGCTATGCAAGGAAAAAAAATGGTGGCTTTTTGGTCTGAGAGTGGCGGCCAGAGGCGACCGACCAAACCGCCCATCTAGGCGTGCCAACATGACAACTCTGTCTTTCTTTAGTCGATTAAGACATTTCGCTCTCTCCTCCCCTTTAGCATCATTGTTTATTAGCTTTAATAAATAAAATTTCCAATTTGGCTTGTGGGTTTGCTTGGTCTGTTCAGCACCTTTTCCACTTTCTTCAACGGGTCCTATACAAATTTTAGGTGCTTGGTCTACCATATACGTTTCTCTTTTTAAACCCCTTCAATGAATCCAAATTATGATATGAATATGAGACTTATAGTTTGATAATATAAAATATTTTTATTTATGTTCATCTAATGTAAATATAAATTCGTATATTCAACAGTTCGGCTCATATAGTTGTGTGATCGTCTTTACAAAGAACGGACTTTTTGTATTTTGATCCAACCTAATCTCACATGTGATCCATCAATTTAAGTGTGTTGCCGTATACAACAGCCAAACAGAAAAATCACTCCTAACACGAATATACGTGGAATTTTTATTTTATGAACATATGTTGAAGAAGGTATAGCTAGTGGAATCGTGTTATTTGGATTTCTTGCCTAGCTGTTTGGTTTGACAGACGTTATTTGCATATGGAAATGTTTGGTTTAGGTATAGTCTATCAGAAACAAACAAAGATGTGCAGAAAACAAGTACTTTGAAAATGACAAATGCATCTTAAAGCTTTAACCTTTCGGCTTCAACTTTCTAAGACAATAGCATGTTAGCTTTGGAAGAATGATATGAAATGGGTTTATTATGCATATGAAAACTAATTGCAATATGATTTTCTGATTACATTTTGGAAGAACAAATCAAGAGCAATAAAAGCACACATTGTTAATTAGGGACATTACCATGTGCTAGGATTCTAAGGAACGATCTTCTTCATATCTAAACTCCACCTACTTCAAAGTAAATGGTTGTTTTAAAGAAGGCTTAAATGTAGAAATGATCTTTGTGTTTTACCCGTTTAGTCAGTTTAATCTCTGTGTTTTCAATTTAATTGATTTAGTTCTTATATTTTATTCCGTTAGCTAATTTTGCCTAATCCATTACATTGCCGTTAAAACAATTCATTAAAGTTTCAAAAATTAATAAATAAAATTTGTAATTGTTCTAAAAATTTAAGTTCAGTTTACAATAGCGAATTAATAAAAATAACTCTTCTTCTCTCTCTCTCTCTCTCTCTCTCTCTCTCTCTCCAACTGTACATCTTCCATTCCCCACCTCATAGCTGGGTTGTTTTTCGGATATAATTTCATTTATTTATTTACATTTTCGATTTAATCAGTCAACTGTTTTGTTGTTTAAAATGTTTTTCATTTTTAAATTGAGATTTTCTGGTTTTTATTTATAAATAATTAGAGAGTTTTTATTAGTTTAAATAATATTTATGAATTTTTTTAATAGTAATTTAATGGAATTGACAAGATTGACCAAGTGAATAAAACACAAGGACTTAATCGGCAAAATTGAAAACACAAAGACTAGTAAAAGCTTTTAGGCAAAATTAAGTTAGAAAAATATAGGATCGTATTTTGAATTTATATAAAGCATTTGAACTTATAGAAAATATTTGGAATGGGAAAACATGCGGCCAGAAAACAGAGACTAGAATTGTTGGAGTAGAAAGTTTACATCACAGCCGGCCAAGCACCACTTTTGACTAGTTGTTATGGACTTCTAAGTTGGATTGGAACCAGGTAAACCAACTACACCTATTCTTAATTTGGCCAATTTATAAGAAGAAAGGCGGCAGTCCTAATTGGTCATTGATCAGAAACAAACATGTATATAATGAATGTTTGACTAATTGAATATTAATTTCTGCATTTTATCAAATTTTAGCTGTTGTTAATTTGAATTTTTAAAAAAATTGAAGTATACTCATTCTTAGCATTAATGATGATAAACTCTACATCATTTAATTTTATAAAAAAACCCAAAAAAAAAAAAAAAAAAAAAAAAAAAAAAAAAAACTAAAACAAGACTAGCTAGCCTATTGAATTTAATTTTGATTATTAAATTACTTTGATGCCCTATCGAGTGTTTTGAATTTTTTTTATGAGGTTTTGGAATTGAGCTTGTTTTAATAAATTGATGACAGTTTTTGTAATTTATAAGAAGTTAGAAGTCTCTTTATTATGTAGTAAATAAGTTTTGAGTGTGTTTCTAAAGTCCATTTCATGTACGATATTTTTATAATTTAGGCTACTGTATGGGTATAATAGTGAATCTTCCTATGGGGAATGTTTGACTAATTGAATATTAATTTCTGAAATTTATTGAATTTTAGCTGTTGTTAATTTGAAAAAATTTCAATGAACAGATTCTCCAATTTCGAAGATTTCTTTCTCAAATTTCTTCTTATTCTTCTTCCTCTTCAGAGATTCTCGTTCTCCGCATTCACATTCAAATAAAAGTAAAGACTATGGCAATGACAAGAGATTTGTTGACGAATTGATTAAAATAATTTATTCCTTTATCTTATGTCGTAAGTTCGATTCTCCCTCTCTCAGTATCGATTTGTACCATGAATAAGGAATGCCCACAAAGTCAAAATTGTTTCATTTTTACCACCTAAATCATGGCAGTGGATGGAGCCATTAGTGATCCCATCACCAATAGTTGACACGTCAGCCCTCCACACAAGATTTCCTGCACAGGTGTCCTCTTGGTCGGGGAAGCATAGAACTCAAAACTGACAGCACTCAGCCACATTCCAAATTACCATAAAACCACCTGTGATCACTGAGAAGTGAGGGCTGCAAGTACCAGGTTGAAGTAACACACCCTGACAAAGAGAGACATGGCATTGACTAGGGTTTGGTCAACAAGAGCTGCTTTGTCTTTGAGGGTGTCTGTTCCCTGTGGAGGCTTTTCTTCTGGTAATTCTGAAAACCCTAGTCTCAAAATTCACGATTTATCTTCGCAAAGTCTCATAATTTTCAAATGAATTCTAAGATTTATGTCCTGTGTCTAATGTAGCTGTGGAGGGTTTGAAGTTTGCAAAGTCCCATGAGTGGGCTAAGGTTGAAGATGAAGGGAAGTTGGCTAGTGTGGGAATAACAGAACATGCTCAGGAACATTTGGGTGATGTTATATATGTGGAGCTGCCTGATGTTGGTGTTGCTGTTGCACAAGGCACCATTGTTGGGAGTGTTGAGAGTGTCAAGGCCTCTTCAGACATTAGCTCTCCTGTCTCTGGCAACGTAGTTGAAGTGAACAAAGAGCTTCTTAGCTCTCCAGGTTTGGTAAGAATTAATTAACATTATGCTAATTTGATTGATTGTAAGTGTAATTAATCTTGCTTTGTTAATTTCTGTCTGGTAATTGGGATGGTTTAGGTCAATGGGAGCCCATATGAAAAAGGATGGATCATGAAGGTGGAGATGAGCAGTAGGGATGAGCTCAATAATCTGATGGATCCTGATGAGTACTCTGAGTATGTGAAGAAGAAGATCCCAAACATTACAAAACAAAAAGACACTTAGGAAAGGGTTTTTCTTTCTTCTTCTTTTTGGGTACAAGGATGCTGTCTTTTTCTTCTCTTCTTATTGATGAGGGAAAACATTACTGGTTGGAACCTTTCTGCATATCAAACCTGAAAATACTCTGAAGTTGCATCTTGAATGATCATCAAATAGGATACTTGTTTTACCTTCATTTTGAAATTTTGAACAGATTTTGCCAATTTTGACATGGCAACCTTAAATTTTAGCAAAGTGCTACTTGAGTTGCCTAATTAGGTCTGTTGTGGTTGTTTAGTTCATATTAAATTGGTACTTTCTAGAGTGTATAGGTATAGGCGTTGTAAGTAAATGTGTATATAGCTCTGCTTCATTTAAAAAAAAATTACTAAGCATATGGTCAGTTCCGATGGTAAATGGCAAAGGATTACTGATGTTAGAGTTACAGTGTTTTAGAGTTTCATAGGGTTAGGCTAGTTGTTAGGGTAGTGTGCCAGCGGCTTTGCACCCGAGTTCGAATCTCTCTCCGATCCGTAGTTTAAATCAAAACAAGAACAAAAGTTTGGTAGTATGAAACAATCTTGGTCCAATGTTTTGAAGAACATGGATACAAATGGCCCAGTGGCAGCAGCTCAACAAGTGGGCTGTGCGAAGAGAATGCACAAATGAATGGTTGGGCTAAACTTGACCCTAGTAGCTTGAGTGGTCCACTGAGTTGTTCTTATATCCACCGTTGAAAACACACCTGGAAATGATGCACCTTATCCACCAAGAAGATATTCTTTAAAATTTAGAAAGAAGCAACGAAGGAGAGATTTGTGAGGTAAAAAGAAATATGAACGGGATACAGCAGATAGCTCTTCCAGTTCTGGGGATTGTAGCTGCTGCAGCTGTTACCTTCTATGCTGTGAGCTTTGCTGAGCTCAGCGAGGTACCCTTCTGTCCAATAACTCTTTAATATTATGTTCTTTCTTTTCTTCTTCTTCTTTTTTTTTAAAAAATCTTTTTGGGGTCAAATATATATCTTAATATGTTGTTTGTTCGTTACTTTCTGAGATTTTCGGTTTTTTTATTATATAAAATTATGTGTAGAAATCTTTTAGGGACTTGGACGAGAAAGATAACGAGATTGTTGGATATAAGCCATCTCCAAGCTCTAGGGAAAAACGGTCCAGAAGAAAAGCTGAAAAACAAGCCAAAGGTTGAAGACAAAGCTTCTTGGACGTTTTTAAAGGTGCTGCTGCCCTTCTACTTCCAATCCCAGCAATTTGCAAATTATTATAAGACTGCATTTTGATTACAAAGGCCCTTTTGGTTTGAGGATATGTCGATGAACGCGTTGCAAAATGGAAATTATAATTTAGAAATTATGCTCAGATATTGTTGTTCACGTTGATTTCAGTTTGTGTACCAAATTTGAATTTGGGTCACCTCTGTTTCATGTAATTTGCAGCTTATAAACCATTAGTTTCAATTTTAAAGAAACAAATAGGTAAAATAATATTCATTAAAATGTAAATAATTAAAATAAGAGACAGAAATCCTACACCAACATAATGTTAAAAGATGCTTTATTCAGATACCATTCATCTCACAAGACACAAGAAGGAACCGTCTTTGCTTTACATGAAGTGTACATATTTTTCACCATCATCGGCTAATGCATTTACAAATTATTTCTGCTTAGACTTGAGCTCCTTCACCCAGTTTTCAGTATCCTTCAATGCTTTCCCATATTTGCTTATTAACTGGAAATAATAATAAAAAACAGGTTCTAGTTAGCATGTTCTTCAAGCTTCTTCAAACCTTGGATGTGATTTAAGCAAGCATTTCATATAAAAATGAGACAAGTGTTGCTCCATTTTAGGGGAGATTGGAACAGATTGAGGAATGTGCCTACCTCGTCAACCTCATTAGGAGTCATGATAAATGGTGGAGACATCATTATATTATCGCCGGAAACGCGTACTAACATTCCATGCTTCTCACATTGGGCTCCAAAATATGCACCTACACCTGTGATGGATATCATCAAGGAGTATCAGCAAGAAAAACAAGGAAGAATTTGTTTGGCCATAAACAGAACCTATAATATAACAGAAACAATGCCTTCTGGCCACCACACCAATGAATGACCAGGCAGATATCACAAAATAAAATGCCGGTTAGCACACAATTAGACCATTATACGCATCCTCTCTCCACACCAGCCCCATGAGGTTTAGACCTGCTTGACTGGTTCCTTGACAGGTTTCCCAGAAAAGCCAAACATATTCATACTAGATGAAGTCTACTTCATTTTCCTTCGATAGAAAGAAAGACGGGACTTACCCCATTCCGGAGGGAATAGATCATTAGGTGACTTGTTGTCTGTAAATTCTGTACCAAGGATCAATCCAGTTCCCCGTATCTGCATAATGACATAAGGAATACCATGTAAATATCTTAGTGATTGTTATTTCTCTTGCTGACCTATAAAGTGTAAAAATTCTCTGTAACAAGACTTACCTCCCCTATAATGGGACTATCAGAGAAGGCTTTTATGCCATCTTGAAACCTTGGCGAAATGCTGTTTACTTGATCGGCAATTTTTCGTTCCCTACAAACACATGAAATGGTTATTGTTCAGTAGTAAAAAAATAAAAACAAAAGCAGGTTGAAGTAAGCTGGACTGCAGTGGACCACCGAGCTCTATAAGCAGAGATGTAAATTTCTAACACAGGTCATGCCACCATAGGCAGGCCAATCAAAGATAATTTATATCAATCAAAGTGCAACTTAGCTAATTGAAATTGATCCATTTTTTAATAAGATGCTGATGGTAGAAACCCTTGAAGCATCAAAGTGAAACTGGATGATCCAGAGTCATCTCTTTTATACCCTACTCTTTTTCTTTCAGATATGTTACAGGGTTCACTACAGAGATTGTTGATTTAGTCAGTATGAGATCAATCCTGTTTCCTCCGGATTCTGAACCTAATTGGTTTGAATCCTTGGAGGTTGGAACCAAGACACCTTTGCTTTCAAATATTTTGGGTTGAGCAAATAAGAACATACTTGTAGATCTTGAGTGCTTCAATTGCAACCGCACAGGATACAGGGTGTCCAGAATATGTAAACCCATGAGAAAAAGTACCTGGCACAAAAGAAATCGTGTCACTCAAAAATAATAACTTTTCATGGAATATGATTAGTTACCAACATACCAAGCTTGTTGCTTTGAGAGTGTATGACATCTGAAACTTCTGGACTCACAAGAACAGCACCTATTGGCATATAAGCAGAAGAAAGTGCCTGGGACATCCAACACCACAGTGATGAGAAAATGAATATTGTCATGGGATGTGAGCGAGTAGCTCTGTATTCGTAGATAATCTCATTTTACCTTTGCTACAGATACAAGGTCCGGTTTGATGTTGTATTTGTCACACCCATACATTGTCCCAAGCCTTCCAAATGCACAGATTACCTTAAAAAGTAAACAAGTAAAACATAAGCTTAACAAGCAACATATAAAGCTTACTCAAAACATCAGATTACATTAAAGAAAAGTATAACATATACCTCATCAGCAATAAATAGAATGTCATATTTCTTCACAACAGCTTGAATCTGCATCAAACAGGAAATGCTTGTCCATTACAAAGATCTTTTTAAGTTTCCTTTTTTCTTATTAGCACCAACCGCCACACTGAAATAAAGCAACACCAAAGCAGAACATGCGAGCCTTTTATCCGTAACATACAGATTTCATATATATGAAGTCTGGATCTTGTACTTCAAACCATATCAATGCATAAATACATTGAAAATTTTTTTTTTTTTTTTTTTTTTTTTTTGGGGGATATTTTTTTCTGGGAAAAAGAAACTGTAAATATTTATCTAACAGAGAAACAACAGATGTAAAAAAACGAAAAAGAGAAAAACAAAGACAAACATAGACATACTTTAATAGAAACATATAGAAACTGAGAGAGAGCCCGTAGCAGGAGCTGTGTTATCAAACTGGTCTTCATGCTTACAAGGTGAGAATCTGAGCATGAAAATTTGGATTTATTTCAAGCTTTTTTTTTATCACTAAAGCTCACCTTCTCAAAATAAGTTGCAGGGGGAAGTATCACACCTCCTGCTCCCATGACAGGTTCGGCAATGAATGCAGCAATCTGAAAGTAACAAACATACCATGTCACAAACACAAAGTATCCTCTGCATTTCTAGAAGGATTCCAGAAATGAAATTTGAATAACTCACTGTGTCTGGTCCCTCTTTGAGGATAAGATTCTCCAAGTTATTGGCCAATCTGGTAGAGAACTCCTCCTCTGTCTCACCTGGCATATCCATCATCAAGCTATCAATAAATTGGTCAAAATAAATCTCTAAGATTAGACCAGTGTAAAAATAGACCTGGAAGGTGATAGCGCCAATAATGTGGGCAGTCGGTGTGCAACACAAATGGAACTGGAAGATCAAATTTGTTATGCAAAGCTGAAAGGCTGTGAAAAGAAATTTAGAGTCAATGCACTGAAGGGTAATCTTTCCTTAGAAATTCACTAGAATATTTATCCTACCCAGAAAGGCTTGCGGCTATTAAAGTTGAACCATGGTACCTGTCAGGATGCAAAGATAACATCAAAGGACTTGGGTACAATGACTAGAGGAAATAAAGAGAAAACAAAATGAGTTGAGTAAGTTGAAAATACGATTTGTGTCGAGCTATGAATTTCTTTTTATCTGGGCGCCCAAGTGCATTATTATAATACCAAACTAGCTTCACCTACAAAGCAAATATTTCAAGTAAATATAAAGATATTATGTATAGAGTTCTAACATATAGACAAACTGGTCATTGATTGCTATAATATCATCCTTGAACTCCTGACCAAACAATGCAATTCCACTTGTTAAATTCACAGGACTTGGTATTCAGGCAACTGAAGCATCTTCAAAACTTCGGGTGTTCATAAGATTTTCAAGTTTTGAATTATCCTTCAGTTTGGTTATTTTATCCCCATACATTGTATTAATTGATAAATGCTATTCTCTCAGCAATCATGATAGAAATGCAACATCATTGTTATCATGTAACGGGATAAATTCACTTTTCCATCTTATATAAATTGGAAACTGTATTTAAATAAATATTCTCATAGAAACTAATCAAACCTGAGTATCATTGGCTTCGGATCCACTATTAGTAAAGAAGGCTTTTGCCATTTTTGTAGCTGTAAAAGTTTCTAGAAGTTCTTTTGCCAAGTCCTGTAAAATAAAGTTTGTTACTGAATATCACAGGCAAGTATCTTAAGAAGGTATCCATTGAACTATCTGGCACTTACAACATATATAGCAACAGTGTAATAGGGAGCAAAGATATGAAGCAAGGTTTTTCTAAATAATACAAAAAAATTCCTTACATTTCTAGCTTAAACTTAGAAATGACATGACATGCATGTAGCAGCAGTAGTAATCGAAATTTGCAAATTTACATATAAAAACAAGGAAGTTATGAAAAAATATGAATACCAAAGATGGTTTAGTAGTACGATTCCAAAAGGAGTGGTAAAATGGCAAGGTATTCAACTGTTGAGTTGCAGCAGCAACTAGGCGAGGTTCATTTCCACCTGCAAATTTCAACATTAAAAAATATGAATTCAAGTGCTTTCACATATACACATGAACGTAGAGACTTAGAAATTTCTTCAACACACCTATTTTTTGACAAATAAACATAACTAACTTACAATAGTGAGGCCAGGCAAAGCTATAAGTGAGATAGTAGGGGTAGCTTAGGATCTGTACTTGGTGATAAAGGAGGTCAAAGGTGACCAGTGCAAATAGTCTTATTCAAAAGCAGGGTGTGCAAGAAACATAATGATGAGAAATGCAGTTGGAGAGATATTCAGTACTTTTTGTGAGGTAATTGTGGCTGTTTCAAGTGACCCAGTAATATAAAAATCTAAGAAACAGTCTTAAGAAGCAGGATAATAAGGACAAAGCAACACATTCAAGCTGACAAATAAATAGTAATGGGAAGCAAATCTTTTACCTAATGCTGTGCACCATAGACCAGCAAGAGCATCAAGATACTTCTTCCCATTGATGTCATAAACATAGCTACCCTGAAATCAAAAATCAACTCTGTTACTTGACTTCAAAAAAATCAGCTTTCAAAAAAATCAGCTTTGAAAATAAGGAAGCACATACAATGA